TGTGATAATGGTTCTGATAGGAGTACAATAATTACTGAATTCAATGAAGTACATTTGGCTATAAAATTAAATTGCGAAGAGGAAACCCAAAACAGAATTGCCTTCCTGGATGTCCTACTTACAAGAAAACCAGATAGTAGCATAAAAATAAATTTGCATAGAAAAATCACTTGGACAGGACAATAAACACATTTTCACAGCTTCGTTCCTATCAAGTATAAAAGAAATTTAGTGAAGACCCTCAGCCACAGAGTTAGAGCTATATGTTCAGGGAAGTAATTGAAGATGAATTAAGCATTGTATATGATACTTTGATCGGAAATGGCTATCCCGAAAAATTTATCAAGAAACACATAACAAAGAAAGCCGAAAAGGACTGCTCACTGTCTGTAAACAAGAAGCCTCTTTATATACGACTACAATTCAAGGGCGATATAGCAAGTAAGATAACTACGAAGAAATTAAGAAAATCAGTTCAAAGAACTTTTAATGCTGGCGAACTACACGTCTTATTCTCTACAGGACCGACGGTGCAACCTCGACTGACAGATGAAGTACCTAGACTAGCCACTTCAAATAGTATCTACCAATTCAACTGCGCTTGTGGAGCGAGTTATATTGGCCGTTGCTCTAGGAACTTGATTTTTCGTGCTCGCCCGAGAACATATCCCACTATGGCTAAGTAAGGGTGTAGTTAAAACCATTAACAGTTCGATACTGGACCATCTGGTGCAAACCGGCCACAAAGCCAGCCAGTGTGGAAGAATCCTTCTCTATCATCTACCGGGTGCCTAAAAAATTGCCAAAATCATCGAAGCCCCGTATACTTCAAACAGCAGAGGCTATTGCGATTCACCTAAAAAAACAGTGCTCTGTGTTCAGAAGAAGCAAGTCCAGCCCCTATTACTGCCCTGGCCTTCACAGTAGAAAATATAAACTCATGAATTTGTAATATTATCCTTCCTAATTATGTTGATGCGATTCAGCTGTAATCTATCAATATTATTGATTTGATATTATTTAAACAGAATTAATGTTGTTCATAACACTAATTCATTCATTCACTATAATGTACGTATATAATTGTAGAGCCTAATGATGAATTATCGAGAAGAGTACTCTTTGTTCAGTATCCATTCTTTTGAAAATTTTAATGGGCATTTTTAATCAGTTAAAATTAGAATTTATGGATCTTTGAATTCTATCTGCAGTTGCTGAATGGTCAACAATCTTGGTCTCGTAACATGAAGGTTGCAGGTAGGATCCCTGGTAGGGTGGTGGGTGTGTGATGCACCTCTGAAGAGTCTCAAGATAGGATGAAAGAGCTCTCCAGTACTCCTTGGTTTTCAGTGATCTCGTGACAAAATCTAATAAGTGAAATTAAACTGATCCAAATCCCCACAAATCCCATAATTTATCATTCTCAGAGTAATTAATACATTCACATCAATTTATCAAATTATTGGCATTTCATATGATCATCTAAGTTCCAATTTTAATTGCATGGTAGAGAAGAAGTTATGAATCCTTTATCGTATTAGGTAATTACTTCTATACTTCTTATCCATGTGATAATAAGACACAAAAATCCGTAAATGAATTAAAAATTAGAAGTAGTTAGGCGTCATCCGCCATGATGCAGTTGAATAACAAAATATAGAGTTAATCGAGTGAAATAAATGTTGATATAAGTTATTACTAAAATCTAACTACTTACTTCCAATTATTGTAATAACTAGTGATAAACTTTATCATGAATTTATGAATGTCACAGTAGATTTTGTCACGAACCAAATGCATCTTGAGTAAAGTTGAAAACTAAGCAGAACTAAAAGGTTGTTTTCTCACAATTTAGGACCAATGCTCATCTACAAACCCACTAAGGATCAATCTCGGTACAGGTTGCTGAAATCCATCTAGATGGTTGAACACTCATTGAGTTTAACTGGTAATCCAAACGTCCTTGTTTCAATTCCTCATGCAGTCATGAGTACTTTATGCGAAAGTCTGCATCTTCGTTTCCAATGGTTCTCGAACTTCATCATGAGTTGACATTGGTTAGAGAACCATTGGAAAACCTGAGAGTACTGGACAGCTCTTTCGTCCTAGTTTGGAACTCTTCATCAGTACGCACCCACCGGGGTTCAAACCAAGACCTTCTGGTTACAAGGTGAGCTCGTAGACCATTGAGCCCCTGGGACCTGATCCAATGGCAAGACCATGAATTCTAACTTCTGCCAATTAACGATATAGCGCAACCGCTAGCCAATGTCTTCGGTGAGTATTTGTCCTCACACCCGACCTGCTTCACCCTACTGGTCACGAATTAAACGAAAATTCCTAGGAACATGAAATTCGAATTTATGAATAACTATCTTATTGGAAAATTTTCATTCTAGATCTGGTTCTTGCGTTTGTCTGAGAAATATCCTGAGTTTTATGCAGTCCACTATTGGTGGCATAAATATTTTCAGTCCGTTAAATAGAAATCAGGAAGCAGACTCTCATGAAAAACTGTATTGACTGAGCTTAGTAACAGCACAATCAGGAAAATAAAAGTAATTGTTATTAGAAACATTAATGGGAATGAGGGACAAGAAGATACGGTAAGGTGAAGATTTATAAAACTACCAAACAAATTATTAGTTAATTAATAAATACTTTTAACCCATTAGCTAATCTGTGAGCTTATAAACGTGCATCGATCAAGTTGGCTAGGATGTGTATTACTCATGTCAAGGCGATACAGTTTGAATTTCTAAGGGTCAGTTTGTGGAGATTTGGTTGTTTTCACCACTGACAACGCGTTGATATCACTTAAAGAAACGCTGAAAACTAGGGAGTAGTGAACAACTGTTTCGTCCTAGTTTAAGGCTCTTCATTAGTACGCCCTCATGACTTCAACTGGGATTGGTTCGAGAACCCTCAGGTTACGAAACGAGCTCATTGACGATTCAGCCACTGGAACAGAATCCAATGGCATGTGAATTTTAACTTCTGTCTGTATGTGATCTTTAGTTCCACCATCAACCAATATGACTACTGATGAAAAATCCCAAACTAGGACGAAACAGATGCCTAGAACTCCCTGGTTTTCATTGGTTCTCAAAAAAACACCAATTCGTGATCAAATCTAAAATACCTTGAACTGCTACATATATTTGCAAAGTCCTACTCTAAAAGTCCAGTTCATCTGAGGCTAAAACTGCTAAAATATTCAAACACATAACATTGATTACAGAGGTTAACTACACTGCCGTGAAAAGCGGAGTTATTGAGTACCCTCTGTTCGAAGAATCCAGTTTTCACTAAAGTAAGTTAGCTTGTACATATATGTCTTCGTGCGTGTGTATCATTTGCGTAATGAACTGAATGGAAGACAACCAATCAATGAGTATTAACATAGAAAAACATGAGTATCTAATGGATCTAGAAGATTATGAAAAGTGAATCCAACTGCGCGACTAAGGACAGTTTTGAGCCATATCACCGACAGTCACAAGTCATTGGTTCTTGACACCCCAACGACCTCAACTAGGCAGTTTACACATGTTTATTTGGCTCAAACCAACTGGCCAAGTCTTCATAGAAGGATATCAAGTTTTGGTCTGACTACTCTTAAATCTTTTCCAACCTAATCCTACTGATGTTCTTTTTTGAGATAAATACTATTATTATTTCCTTTAATTCCTAGAGGAACATAGGGCTTCAGCCGCGCGTCTCCATTGCCTACGGTTCTCTGCCAACGTTTTCACCTGGCTCCAAGTCTTCCCACATGCTTTCATCTCCTCTTCACATAACCTCCTCCAAGTCACCCTTGCACTGATGAACAACTTGCCACCCGTTTCCCTTTCGGGTTCCACTCGAGAAATGTCTTGTCTAGTGATGTCACTTGATGGTTTGTTTCCTCAAAGTATGGCCAATCCATCTCAATTTCTTCCTGCCTATTTGTTTCCAATCGGTTCCTGCTGAGTTGGTTCTCTCATTGTCAGAGATCCTGTTGCTGATCATTTCTGGCTGGCCATCTGATCTTGAGTATTGAGCGACGACAGCTGTTAATGAAGATCGGTAGTTTGTTTGAGATGCTCTTTATGACGCGCTGGCCAAGTCTCTGATCCGTATGTTGCGTAGAACTTACTTCACATTGGAGTTGAAAATCCGGATGTTACTTTGATTTTGATGCTGAGTGGGGCTGTTGACCTCCTGCACACAGACTTGAGAGTAATGAAAGCTTGTCTTGCTTTTCCAATTCTGGCTTTGATATCCTCGTCAGTTCCGTCCGCCTGTAGTTGAAACGATGCTTCCCAGGTAGGTTGGTAGGTGAAGGAGGTTGTTTCTTTCAGGTTCCTCCCATTTATGCTGGCTGATTGTTGTCTGTTGTTGTTGCTGTGGCTGATGGTGTTGGCCAGGAATCTTCATCACCTCTGTTTTCTCTGTGTTCACCTTTAGTCCTGTCTTTGATGCTTCTCCCGCCAGCTTGTTGCTTTTCACTTGCATATCTTCCAGTTTGTGGGAAAATAAATATTAGATAGCTATAATATTATGAGTACAAATTCCTAACGAATTACCATAAGCAACTCATACATCAGTTTTTCAACAGTAACTATTAGACAAAAAATAGGATATTTAACAACCCTTTATTTACACTACGTTTTTTCCCTTAAATATCTGTTTCTTGCCATTATGAATATGCCTTCTTAAAAATGTTCTTCTGCTTCAGTTGAGATGATAAGAAAAATATCTCCGTGCTCATAACTCTCTATAATGTAATCACTGAGATACACAATACACAAGAATGTTGAAGACATGTACATATATGTCACGAGTTTCTCAACATCTGGAGTTATCAAAACTGCTCTATGTAAATAAAAAATTTTCTGCTTAACTTTTTCCGTTACAATAATCTACTACTTGTAGAATGCCTTATCAGTAGTGTGACGATAATATTTCTTTAATTCTAATAATTAAGGTATTAAAACGTATCACTGGTTACTACTTACTGTCGACAGTCCACATTCATTTAGAGTAGCGTGTTCCAACAGTATAGTATTAACATTTCTAAAACAATTATTCGATATTATTAATTACCACCTACTTATCAGTGAGAACACCACGTGTCAAAACATCTTCAGTGACGGAAGATATAAATTTCAAATAATTCATCTCGTCTTTTCTGTAGAAATATAAGCAAAAATAATATATATATATATATATGCTGTTAGCATAAAGAAAATTGAACACAATAAAAGAACAACTTTGACAAGACGGTATTTTCCATCCGTTCACATGATTCAAATTCACTCAGGATTTATTCGTCAATAATTAGTAAATTTTGCCTTTAATTTTATTGCTGACATACACACACACACACAGAAGCTGTAAGCCAATTGTTTTGAGACAATGGAACTCAATAAACTGTCAAATTTTTTATGGATTCTTTTTAGTTTCCCTATTCATCACAGTACACAAAATGAAATGTATCTTTTCTCATAACATTAACTATGATCTGGTGATTAATAGACGGTATCTGCTTTTACTACCTAAAGTAATCAATATTAGCAGATCATACTCCCAGTCACTTCTTCCAATAAATATTCAGAACTAGTTGGAAAATTGTCATACTTGGATAATTTTGTCATCTCTAGATCTATGGATGAATGGTTGGGTTAGATATTCGGATACCTCAGCACGGATACAGGGGGCTGGTTTCGCATTTGCCAGTTTATGCCGTCTCTGGCGTAGACGTGATATCCGGTTGGTTATCGACCAAAGGGCGGGTGTACTGCTCATCAGTCCGCTCCGTCCTCCTTTATGGCTGTGAGACCTGGCCATTAGGAGTGGGAGACATGAGAAGATTATCTGTCTTTGATCATAGGTGCCTGCGCTCTATCTCCTGTGTGAAGTGGCATAATAAGGTGAGCAATATTGAAGTTAGGCGTCGAGTGCTAGGTAGACAGGGGAAATCAATCGACGAGGCTGTGAAGCTACATCGACTGAGATGGTTAGGACATGTGTTACGTATGCCAAGTCATCGCCTTCCTCGACGACGGGTAATGTTAGCTGATATAGGGTCAGGCTGGAAAAAAGCTAGCGGTGAAACAAAAACTTGGCCTCACCAGTCAGTGAAATCCAAAACAGTAAATCTAAGCCACGTAGGAAGGTGTAGACTGGCTTCCTGGTTGGGGTCCTCGGGACGGTAAAAACCAATGGTTGGAAACTATTGGTGACATGGCTCAAAATCGTTCTCAGTGATGGTTGGCGCAGATGCATCCACTCCTTGTGATTTCCAATGAAACTGTTTTGTTCTTCGTTATTACTATTCCTTGGTCTCACACCTCTGCTCACTGTCTCTATTATGCTTTTCTTGCACTTTGTTCTCTTGCTTTGTGTGCTACAAGGAGGGGGTGTGGCGACTTGAACTGGTGCACATCGGTGCAAAGTTCTATGTCGAAAACAGACAGACAGAGACAGACTTTACGGTTTGACACGAAAAATAGCTCTTTGACCAGTGTTGAAACACATATGCAACTAAACACATAGGGAAATTAAGAACACAATATTCAGTGAAGAAACTCTTTTCAACGAATTTATTATCAAGCTGTACAATCGTATGTATATACGGTTTTATTTTAAGAAATTACATCCGGTGAGGGAATTAGGTAAAAGATATGCTCCCCCGTCTGGCCGCCTCCATGTGCATCTGTCAGTTCACCTGCTCCTCTTGTGGAGAAAGATACATTGGCCGTAGTCAGAGGACGCTTTCCACACGGATACGAGAACATATAACAGCATGGTTTTACAAGGGAGAAAGGAAGTGTGTGCGAAGCTCTGTTCTGGAACACCTGATCGACTTCTGTCAACCCTGACCATGATTTCAAGATCATATATAGAATCCATGCTAACTTCCCGCGTTTTCGTCGTTACAGACTTCTAAAGACAGCTGAGGCCTTGGCAATTCATGAATTTAGGCCAGACCTTTGCGTACAAAAGAAGTATGTATAATCCGTACTTCTGCCTTGGTTGTAGAGGGATAGACATTTATTTATTTTGTTTATTTAGTTATTCTATGTACTTTTCCCTTATTACAACGATTATTATTATCATCATCATTATTATTGCTATTCTCACTCCGAATCTTTTCCACTTGACCCACTTGTCATTTTAAACCCAAAATTATGAATTTTTCATATTTTTTATTTTTACAGTATTGAATTTTATCTTATCAAATTTCACACCATGTTATGTAACATTTTATATTCGTCCACTAATCCTGTAATTATGTACCCCTTTCCAAAATCTATACATCTTATGTATTAATCTACATATGACATTAATTATTTTACCACTTGACACTAAACTATGATTATAATCACAAATATTTTAATTGCATTTCATACTATTATTACTTCGCACACCTTCACACCTTTGACCTAATTCCCTCACCGGATATAATTTCTTTATAAAACCATGTATACACGATTGTAGAGCTTGATAATAAATTCGTTGAAAAGAGTCTCTTCGCTGAATATTGTGTTCTTAATGCTACAACGGGAATTATTAAACCTTTGGAAATTACGATATGTTACCTTAAACTCTTAATCAGTGATAAAAATAATAATAATAATGTATTCGCTTTAAATGTTCTGTTTAGGAAAGCATCTAGAATCAGATCACCTCTTTTCTCAATGTTCACTTTACACTTAGTCGTGTCTTGTTCACTCCACCTTCACATTTGGGGCTTCATTTTGTTTGAAACACACACAGTAGTGATCATGTTGGACTACAAAATAATAACAATAATGGATGATGAAGAGAAAAGTCAATTGCGTAACATGTTGATCCGCAATAGCCTCAAAGGAATGAGCACTAGGGAAAAGTTACAAATCAGGTAAATGGAAAAAAACTTAATTCTGAAACTACTTCGACACTATTGAGTGTTCCAAATCCGTATCAACCTCATTCAGCAGTCACATGACAATGTCACGTGTCAAATGATTCACAATGGAAAACACAGAGAAGGCTTTGAAGTAAAGATAGGAGTAAGACAAGGCTGTCGAATACCATCGAGTATATTCCTAAATGCGATGGACTGAATTAAGCGGAAGACCATGGGGAGTGAGAAGACATAGATATACTGGACCGACAAAAAGACTATAGAAGATCCAGATTTCGCGAATGATTTATGTCTAGTGTCACATAAATTCGAAGACTTACAGGCGAAAACCAACAAGTTGGCAGAAGGGACAGGTGGCTAAGTCAGGACTTGAAATGAACATAGAGAAGAAGGAGGTGATGAAGGTAACCAACCAACAACAAAAAACTGGCACCAGTCACTATCAACAGCCGAAATTTGAAGGAGATCACTTCCTTCACTTATCTAGGAAGCATCATTTCAACTAAAGGAGGCACAGATGACAACGTCAAAGCGTTCGAGAGTGACATGGAGGAGATCATGTGAGGAGGAGGAGGAGGAGGAGATGAAACCTTATAGGCGATCATGGGACTAGCTGAAGAAGATTGCAAAGAAAAGGATAAAACTGAGATGTGCTGTAGAGACCCTATGCTCCACTCGGGACTCAAGGGGATAATAATAACAAAAACCAATAACTCGTCGTCCAGGGTCACTGATGAGAACAAATAATGTGACTGTTAGAAAATCCTTACAAAGTAGATATTTTATTATTACGTCATTTATAATGACAGATAAAGCAATATCACTGCTACGGCATTTATTTTGGACAACACAACAAGACCTTCAAACAACTACACACAAATACTTTTTAAGAGTGCAATGACGATACTTTAGTACCCATCATCACTATGATAACTATTACAATGTACCCAAGTAGAAATTCGCTATTAACATTTATCTTGAATATATCAAAGGTGAGTCACCACATAGGTTTTACTTATCATTGTTATTACTGTAGGCTAAAATTAATAGAATTGTAATTGCAGAGCCTGAAGAAGAATTTATTTGAAAACAATTATTCTCTCTCTTATTATTGTTACTCTTTATACATTTAATCCATTCTAACTAAAAATGCTTTTTATTTCATATATTTCTTTTATTTCTCCTCTCTCATTAAAACATTAATCAAAATGAAATTAGTTTAGTTTTATGTGTAATGCAGACATAATATTCAGTATTAATAATAGTAATAACAACTGATTGAAAAAGAAGATCTATCTTATGAATGAAATAAAGGCAAACAAACAATTCATTTTTCGTTTAAACGACCTTGATAATCCTTTTTACTTTATTGTCTAATCTTATAGTACATATATTGATGTACTTATATCTGGTTTAATGACACGATTAATGGAGACATCATTGCTTGTATGTGCACGTGAGGCATATGAGATGTACACACATTTTTGGACAACAATAGACTATAATGATTTCAGTGCTAAAAGACATACTACTGAAAGTAGACAAAATCTCTAACTGAAATTTTATTTGCTTTATCAGTTTAATTCTCAAGATATTGCTTGATCACATTATGTCTTTTAGAAAATGAAAAATGAACAACTTTCATGAGTTTTTACTTCCAAATTTATAAAAATGTAATTTAAGATTGTGACGATGATGGTGGCGTTAGAAAAGTAACAGTAGTTGCAAAAAGATTACAACTGGATATTCTGCCAGCTGAGCTGACTCAAATAGGAAGTCCTTCGAAACTTGTTGGCTGCTCTTGTCATCAAAGTTTATTTCTTATTGTTTACGTGAAACATAAAGTTGGTTTTTCATGACCACACAGGCTAGATAACGTCTGATTTAGACCAGTTACATAAGTTCTATTTGGGAAAAATGCAATTTATGCACTTTTATCCATACAAAATATCTTGCCACTGGTTACCGACGACTGTACGGTAAATTTAGAATTAAAACTTTCAGGAACGACCTTTTCTAACCGCTTACTCTTAGAATAAAGGAACAGAACAGATGGTCACGTAAATTTCAGCATTATTAGGCACCGGCATTGTAGTGGAACTTCCCCACACTATTATTACAGTTATCCAACCGACCTTTAGTGTAGTATACCTTTCGAAAACAATCTTCCCAGTCAGTATAGTGCGTTGATCTCTTGCCATACACAGGCGCCACATCTACACCAAGCTATCAGCTGTCAGTCTGACTTATCTACTCGATAAGTGCATTCAAAGAACCTCAGATAGATTTGTTAATATATATCCGTTAGGCGAAATTATAAAACCCAGAATTCAGTTAATATAAACAGTTAATCTAAAATTAGTAGACTATAATTCTGAATTTACTGAAACGCCATCCCTGTCCTTGCATTATGAAAGATAAGGGCTTCTTGCATCACACAGTAGGCAAAGAATAGTATCATCGAAAAAGATTTAAAGACTTCATGTAAACAAGATTCCTAATTTTTCCCCATTTAAACTGGAAGAAAAGCCGACTACTTACAAATTTTCTACTGATATTTCTTTTTCTACAGAATTATTAATCATTTGAGGATTTACATTGTCCTTAATGAATTCATTTTCTGGAATAATTGTTTGGAGATCTTCTGCATGACTTGTTGGTAAAGCTGTCTAAATAGAAAATAAAGATAGATAACAGTCAGGAAAAAAAGTATCTAATTAGACTTTTGATTGAATGGTAAGTAATGAATACAAACTATCTATCTATAGAATACAGCTAAACGAATTCATTAAAACAGTGTACTAAATTTACATTTAATTCGCATAGCATAAGAAAATGACTAAACAGGGTGGATCTTTTTGTTGCAGTATATCTAACTACTGAGTAGAGAAGAATCTAAAAAGTCATTCGAGGAGATTTCTTACTTGATGTTTAGTGTGCACTTGTTTAATTAGAAGACCTTTTTTGTTATACTATGTATTATTATATATCCTACAAATAAGCTACAAATCCCTGGAAAATTTCAAAACCAATCAGCATACTTCGATTATCATTATTACCATTGGCTTAAGTTCCTAGTGGAATATAAGTCCTCACCAGTAAATTTTCATTTTGCCATGTTCTTCGCAGTCATTTTTAGCTGATTCCATGACTGTTCACACACTGCCTGATGCATTATATTTCCCAATGACATCCTCAAAGTAAGTCCAATCCATCTCCATTTCTTTCTGCGTTAGGTTCTTGACTGGCTCACTGTCAGACTTCCTTGTTGCTTATTCTTTCTAGCTGGTCATCTGATCTCCTGTAACAAATGAAAGCAATTATTGGTGAAAGTCGAAGCCTGTTCGAAATGCTTTCTGTGATGCGCTACTACCGATTACAGGGTAGTAAAGGTCTACCTTGCTTGACTAACCCTAGTTCTGACATTCTTACTTGTTCCGCCTGTGGCTGAAACAAAGCTGACTAGATAAGTGAAAAGGTGCCTTCCTTTAGATGTCGCCTGTTGGTGATAACTGATGCTTGTTGTTGTTAGTTAGGTATCTTCATTACCTCTGTCTTCTCAATTTCACATGAATCCTGTCTGTGTTGCCTCTTCTACCAGTTTTTTGGTTTTTTCCTTCGACATTAGACATGTCAGTAAAATTAGTGCTCTTCTGAAAATATCTAGAAGAAGTCAATGTCGTTCTGGATGCATAAAAACTGATGTATTTTGTTGGGTTTCTTTTTGTTGACATTGTAATAAATCTCTTACTGTTTTACTGATACTTCTATTTTTGAGAAATACAAGAAACCAAAATAGGTGACAACAGGTGAGACTGTCCAACAATATTCTGGTTTGCCTAATAGACTGAAATTAGATTGAAGAACTCTGGAGAGTACTCGATATTTACTCCTATTTACCATATAGCTCCTCAAAAGTTGGATGAAATTAAGACATTTACATTACTAGATTAGTAAGTTAGTTATTAGTCGGCTTTAACTCAGTAGACTAAATTCTCTTTCTGTACATTAGCAGCATGTCCTTAGTGTGTACTCTTGAAAATCTCATGTGAACATGTCATCTGTCGAAACAACCAAGTCTGTGCTGTGGATAAATATTCAGTAATCAAAATGAATAAATGACTCCTATATGTTATAAATAGGTCAAAACAGAAAAGATGTGAATCATTTGATTTTAACTAAGCAATAAGCTGATTTACCTCGAGATCTAAATAAATACCGCAATCTACATATGCCAAAAATCTAAATACTAACAAAATTTGTTCAATGCACTGTCGCTCTGAGGGATTCTTGATGTAATATTACAAACTTAAATGAAAAATATGCACTAATTAGTCAATCAGACAGATTAAGTACTAACTGTCATACTCATTACTAAAGTTTAGTTCGGTAAATAACTTTTTCTAGAAATTTCTATGATAATTATAATTTATATTTAGAACTCTTGGTTTGCTTGGTAATCACATGAATTCTTTACTAGGTTATTGAGTGCACTAACTATTCTGAATGGATTGCCTGTCTTATAAAACTGTTGTAAGATACTATAATTTTCCTGATTGCAGTAGATTGGATAATGCGACAGACAACGGTCAATGAGGAAACAGGCATAAAATGGACTCACACAAAAGGCTTCGAGGATCTGGACTTCACCGATGATATATGTCTGGTTTCCCACAAACTGGAAGATATGCAAATGAAAAGCAACAAGCTGGCAGAAGAAGCATCAAAGACAGGACTAAAGGTGAACACAGAGAAAACAGAGGTGATGAAGATTCCTGGCCAACACCATCAGCCACAGCAACAACAACAGACAACAATCAGCCAGCATAAATGGGAGGAACCTGAAAGAAACAACCTCCTTCACCTACCAACCTACCTGGGAAGCATCGTTTCAACTACAGGCGGACGGAACTGACGAGGATATCAAAGCCAGAATCGGAAAAGCAAGACAAGCTTTCATTACTCTCAAGTCTGTGTGCAGGAGGTCAACAGCCCCACTCAGCATCAAAATCAAAGTAACATCCGGATTTTCAACTCCAATGTGAATAGTCAGTGCTACGCAACATACGGATCAGAGACTTGGCCAGCGCGTCATAAAGAGCATCTCAAACAAACTACCGATCTTCATTAACAGCTGTTGTCGCTCAATATTCAATATCAGATGGCCGGCCAGAAATGATCAGCAACAGGATCTCTGACAATGAGAGAACCAACTCAGCAGGAACCGATTGGAAACAAATAGGCAGGATGAAATGAGATGGATTGGCTGGCCATAGTTGAGGAAACCATCAAGTGACATCACTAGACAAGCCATTTCTCGAGTGGAACCCGAAAGGGAAACGGGCGGCGAGTTGTTCGTCAGTGCAAGGGTGACTTGGAGGAGGTCACGCAATGGAGACGCGCAGCTGAAGTCCTATGTTCCTCTAGGAATTAAAGGAAATAATAATAATAATAAGTAAGTCAACAGGAACTAGATAAAACTTTCATCGATAGATCACAATATGTGATCAACCTGATATTAAGAATAGTAATAAAGAAAACAACCAATAAGGCAGGATGGTATATACTACTGGTTGATATGAGTAGTTGAAAACAACTCACATCAAACACTAGTGTTTGATAGCCAGATCAAAATGATCAAGACATAAAGAACAGCAGTTTCGGTTGTTTGAAGTGAAGCTGATAACTAGTAAACAGTCTAGTCCCGTAGCACAATCAGCAGAAATTTAGGCTGACAAGATAAAAACCACTCATTAGAATTCTGTAGTGAATTACATTTGCTGTTCACCGTCAACTACCAATCCGAAAAGTTAATAATGGAAAAAATAAGCCACAGTCGCCTTGATGATGTCCACACCTTAAGTCTCATGGGCTTCAATTAGCCAACTGCTTTGGATTGATAGCTAAAGTCATCGGACTTTTGCGATGCGATTTTGTAGGAAGATGGTCAGTCTTTTACATTTATAATAAACACATAGATTCTACACAAACACAGACATTACCTCTGATTTATGAATTGTACTGTTACCAGGTAAAGTATTTAACCATTGATTCACTTTCCCGAAATTCTGTGATCTATTGATAAATCCGTCAGATATTGGATTCCTTTGTAAGTTATTTAGTGAAACACGCTTCTGAGAAGAGGATAACATATTTGGTGACATATTTGAATTTTTTGAAGAAAAAGAATGACGTGATAAACGCTTTCCCAAGTGTGAGACATAACTTCATCTTGATTTGCATCAACAGATTTTGGTACAGGCTTTTCTTTTATTTCTATATTTGAATTTTTTAAAAAGAAATTCAAATGACTTAAACCGCCAGAAAATCAGAAAGATAAGTCCTTATAACCTGTAAAATTGAAGAATTAAGTTGTGCATTTATTATGCATAGGGCTTAGGAATTACACTGTCGACGTATAAGTGACTGCGACTATCACCCTTAGACACTCCTGAAGTCAAACTATCAAATCCCGCTACTTTGTGTCGTGGGCAATTATATTCTAGCCTTAGGCTAGCTGGGTGTTCAAGGAGCTTATTTAAGTAAAGCTGTGTTGCCAATTACAAAGTACTTTGAGCAAAACCCTATTCTAGCATGTGAAACATCTAAAATGACTACGATATTAAGACTAACTTAGTGTGATAAAGTTGCTAACTTGATATTAATTGACAAATGTTGAGTTCTCTTAACGTCTCAGATATGTCTTATCAATAAAGCCAGAAAATCAGCAAGAAAGAAATGAGATTTCCTGTCGACTACATTCTAACGTCCCAAATCAGACTACGACGTACCAGGGTAAGTGGAAGTGTTATTTTGCTTTTCTGAGTGAACACATCATAAGTTAGATCTTTGAGGTATGGTCAATATCCAGCACCAAATAGTCATAATGGATACCATCCAGTGATCTGTTTATACACAGAAAATCACTTCAACAAACAAATCTTAATAACATTCTCAAGGTACAATATCCATTATTACCACTTACATCGTCTCTGTTCGTTCGGATGTTTTTCCGTTTCATCCTTAGAGTTAACGACGGTAACATATAAGATACATATTGTAAGGATGTTTTGATGTATTTGATACATCTGGTAAGGATCAGAAGCTGAACCCAGAGCACCTGTTTCGTCCTTTTTTAAACTCACTGACCAATGTACTTAAATAACAGTAGTCTGCTGTTTATACTGAGACATGAGTTGATCACTTCATACAGTAAAGCTCTCTTACCAATCTAGTGATTGACAGAAATCATTTTTTTCAGCAGATGGTTGCTTCTTTTATTTGAAGTCTCGTTATCACTTACAGATACAACTTACATGACAATTCTAGCCGACGAAGACAAATCTTTAGACTTCACTGTATTTTCATAAAAATACTATTAATCGATAACCATTAGCTAAAATGTAAACAATATCATTTCATATAACCAGCATCATAACTGATCTGCCTTACATTACTAAAAAGGCAGCATTCGTTTACTATTCGAGGCTCGTAGAGTTCGTAAAAAATACAGTTGTTTAAAGGCACGGAACATTAAAGATATAAAAATTTGGGATATTATTCCTCAGAAATAAAAGGAAAATTAATTCACTCTTAAGTGTGGTTCATAGCCCTGTGTTACCCCTGAATTCGTGATTTATGCATGTACTGAAATGACAAGCTTATTGGACAGTTTTGATTCGTCTATTTATGGCTTAAACTTCTGAAATTCTGTAAATATAATATATTACGTATTTTGTCTAATAAAAGTTGTCGTTCCGGTCATCGCTTTTCCAGTCTGGCTTTTCTGTCTATCTCTATGTGGGGGATAATTTCAAGTGATTATTTGGTTATGGCGTCGTGCTCTGGAGGCGCATTGTAGTCAGGTTAGACGAAACCACAACAGAGTATCACTTCCTCGAAGCAACACCACTAACCACTCGTAAAATTTGGTTTGATGCGAACCTAGTTCTGAAGCTTTGTCCCTAGATTCTAATCTATTGTAATATGGACCTCATCTGCACCTGGATATGTATCCCATCTGAGAAGCGATGGTTTGTGTCTTCAAATGTAACTTATGATGAGAACACTTACAAATATCAATTAACAAAATATTGAATTCCTTCAGCCGTAAAATCACAAAAATGGAAATTACTGTTTCCATGGGCCGAGACGGCATTGTTTTGCGAGAAAGTTCTTCAGGTTAGTGTAAGCATGCTACTCAAGTGAGATTAATGTGTCTATTTACCAGTTCCTGAGGCATTTACACAACGTTTTTCTTTCTTTAAATCACTTGTAACTTTCTTCACTACTATTTCTTTAACTCCAAGCAAATGGCATTTTTCTAACCTTGGCAGATCAAGAGTAGAATTACTCCTTATACTAGTGCTCGTGTCATTTTTAAGATGAACAGATTGGAACACATTACCTGAGACTATAACAGTTTGGGTATGAATTAAATAATCTGTGATGATAAAGTTATTTTAAACTATAGTCAAATGATATCTTAACCAGGTCAATTACCTCACACTTTAAAACTGTCTCACTTCTTCGAAGAAACTTAACATGGGATATCTAAAGCTAAGAATTAAAATATGCACATACTCAGTTTATGTAATTCACCTATTGGAACCAACACCCAGTTGTATAATACTGAAAGTCTACAGACATCTTCCTACATTGATCCTACTGCAAATTTAGTAGTCCCAGTGGCAATCAAACTTACCAATATGAACAAGGTGAATAACAAAAGAGGGAATGAATGGAAAAGAGTAAAATAAAACTCCTCACACATAAATCAGAGTAAAGTATTTCAGAATAAATAATGCATGTTTCATAAATAGAATATTAGATTTAAAATAAGTTATGTAGTCTAAGAAAATTGTGAAGCCTTGCTTTATGTATCTTGCTTTTCCCGGTACTTCAGACAATATGGCTGATAATCTGTCCCACCTGCGTTGATACGTCTACACCACATAGTCACCTACATTTTGAAGATCCTATTTCTCTACAGTAGTATTCTATGTTCTAATTAGCTTACTTGCTTGACTACTATATGAATTGTATCTACCATGTTTTCTTACTACGGAATTCTCCAAATGTCTACAAATGTTCAAAATGGATACAAGCATCTAGATTCCTTTCTTCTGTGCCTCTTTTCGTTTAACATAGATAGTAAGCTTTCCATTTGATAAAAACACGGCATCTTGTAACACTTTTTACATCAGGATTAACACTGAATTGCGTATGTAACTCCAATAAAGTGCTTTCTTCTTAGCGTTTCAAGCACAGTGCAACCACGTTTTATCACAAAAAGTTTTGATTTATTTGCGTTCATACTAAAACCTGCGCTGAAGATGTTGTCTATAAGAACAACGAAAGCTTTGCAATTATATCAACCAACTCAGTGAACACAACTAAACCAAAACCATCCACCTGAGCTACAAATCTTCTCCGTTGTCACACATAGTAAGAATCAGATTTATACATTCATGAAAAAGAAATACTTACTCGAATCTGTTGTACACTGGCTATTCGATCTATTCAATCGTATTACTGGTTTAACATCTAAAATCACTTTGGAATCGGGTTGACAGACACGAACAACTCTTTTAGGAGGATTATAACACCTCAAACCGATTAGTTTAGATGAAGCATTAGATTTAATTGTTCTTGGAGAGAATGGTTTAGGCTTAGTGAACTTCTTATGATAAATATCCATGATATCATTGCTAACTGACTGGCGTTGTTGCATAGTCTATAAATAGAATTTTAAAAAATATGATGGTTTTTTAAAGCCTTTGTGATTTACAGTCTAATTTCATCCTTCGTAAAGCTGATAACCATTTACTTGTCTGGTTACATACTACAACCGGTACGGTAAGAGTAGAAACGACTCTTAATTTTACCGAGGCTTCACAGTAGTGTTAACAGTTTTAAGACTATAACCGTAATACGACTTTTTTAAATGAATAATGAGAGAGAAGTATTCCTTTAAGTACTTCAATTTATCAAACTCAACTCTATATAAAAAGCACCATAACCTATTTCCCCTAAATTTTGCTTTATGTCATTAGTCAGTGTGTTCACACTACATTCAATACTCTCAACTTTTAAGATGTTCCTGAATACTATAGAAATAAAATGTGGAAACAACTTTTAATATGATTTAACAGTAAGACTCTGAATTATTCTAATGTTCGACTGTGTATATCCACATATGATAAACAACGCAGAAATATTTCGAATAAAACCTAACGTATTGGCAATCAAAATTACCTCCGACCCTGTAAACATTCTGACATACACCACTGTGCCTATTGATAAGATTAGAGCCGTGAGTAACGAACACTAAAAAACTTATGCTGTTTTGAGTCTGGATGCTATGATGAGTTTTCCGACGATTATTTGGTCAATACAGGACATTCAGCGCTATCCGAAAAATCCTTCAAAATAATATACAAGATTCGATCAAACCTATCAAAGGGAGTAAAATCAAGAAATCTTGGCATAGACGAGGCAGTAGTTATCCAAAAGCTCACATCCGCGCTATGTATCCAAAAGAAATACGTCCAACCCTTGTCCTTGCCATGGTCATCATAAACAAGTAATTCTTCTAATAGTGACTATCCCATTGCCTTTCTTATCTGAACTTCCTGTTTATTCATGTTTTTTCTAAGTTGTCTTAGTTCCTATTTACACTACCATATTTTCATATCCGAACTTCCTGTCTATTTTGTCATTTTATTATTTAACTCATGGAAAATTCCCATTTATCATCAAGCTGTACAGTCGTATATATATGGTTTATCAGAAGTTATATCCGGTGAGGGAATTGAATTCAATTCCCTCACCGGATATAACTTCTGATAAACCATATATATACGACTGTACAGCTTGATGATAAATTCGTTGAAAAGAGTCTCTTCGCTGAATCACTTGTTTTGATTTTATTATTTCTACATACTTAATCCCCAACTGCATAAACAATTATTCGTCACACTAGTTATGATCTCACTAGATTTTTTATCCAAACATCCTGTCCATTTTGCTATTTCTACACTTCTAGCCCCCAATGGCACAATATGTCAATCTTCTCAGTAATTATGATGTCACTTTGTTTGAGTTGTATCCGTCCCCCTGTTTATTATGGCATTTTAATTCTGGATTGTAATTTTATTAATTTGACCCTTGACCGGAAGTTATTCAGGAACTTTCTCACACATGTAATACTAAAAAAAACACGAATGTACAGCTTAGTTGATGACTTCGTCAAAAAGAAAATTTTCTTCGCTGCAACAGCCTCTTTGATTATTCATAAATTGCGCTTTATTTAGCTGAATAAATTGCCTAAAATATCCTAACTAGAATTGCGCTGCTAAAATTAGGGAACTGCACGAAATAAACACACGATATTTTGCCTAAGTCTTACATATTTAGAAGAGTGAAAATTCACTTTTTGGCCTCTTTGCTTTCAAGACTGTTTTGTTTTACAATCGTACTACCTCTTTGTCACTGGCTTTTACTTCGTCGGGTCTTTCTTACCAGATAGCAGCGCAAAATGATCAATGGAAGCGTAGCATCCTTCAGACGTTTGACATTACAAACACCAGACAAAGTTAAATGAAAAGCAATTTCAAAGGTGAAAAAATAATCACGCTATTAATAGACTAAGGTGAACCGAATTAAACAGCTCATTAAAAACCAGTTGCCACAAACATTTTACGCCGTATTCACAGGGATCAAACTCCTAAGCTGCGCACAAGATTTATCTTAAAAATAAATAATTTGGCACACAGGATATACGGTTTATTCTTAGTCTATCCATCAAAACTTCTAAATGTTTAATTGACTAATCCACATATCGTTAACGTGTTTTTTGCTTCTACTTATGATTATTTTTTAAAAGCAGTAGAGCTGAGCGCTCAGTTCATAACTTATTTGATCATTCATGACTATTCTATTCACTTCAAATATTCTGTAATGCATTTTCTGGCAGCTCAGTGCTCATTAATCCTACCGGATGACAACTGGGTTTTTTCAAATCTGTATTTTATTTACTGCAGTAATTTCATAAATTCATACCTCTTTTTGAGGACCTGTCATCAGATGCATTAGAAAAATGGGTGTGGTAATATTTTAATGCTTACAGTTGGCGGTAAATGATACGTATAATACTTCAAGGCACGATCCCACAGTCAGTGCTACTTCTACCATGCTTTACTAGTTTTACTGAACCTCATAAAAATATCTGCATGATTAGGTGTGAGAGACGCCAAGACATGCAGATTATAGAAATCAATAAAAATTCGAGAACAAAGAGCAAAATATGTATATTCATCATATATTTCTGATATTTCTACAGAAACTAAAAGGAGTGAACAAGGAAGATTTCTGAAAATTACCTCAGTTCTACGGAGAAGTCTTAAAACATGACCATAGAGGAGGTTGTATTAAAGTATAGTGAACCTCTTCAGAAATCAAGTCATCACCCGCTGTAATATCTTCAAAAACGTTTACTTGATATTCATGCTTTTGGGAAGACCTGACTTAACTTGTATCCAATCTCTGCTCCCTGTCTGACAGACTGAAGAGAACATTATAGTAGGAAATTCTGAAAGTCAGTACCAAACACTTACACTGCAAAACAGTGGGTTTAAATTGCAATTAATCAATTACTGCGATCACTTAAGCTTGATCATCATGCTTAGACGTCGTCCGTGGGTTATTTAACACAACATTCCATTGACTTATCGTGAATGAGTCAAAATTTCAAAAACTAAATTAGTGTTCACTTTAAATAATAGTGTCCTTGTCATACCTAGGATCATTTACTGACTACCTTATCTGTTCTATTAATCGCCTGAAAATTATTATGATTCAGTGTTCGTCATATTTAGAAAATTCAAATCAGTACAAGATTGGGTTATATCTAAGGATACAAGAAAATCTGTCGAAGTAGTCTTTACATATTTTAGCTAAGCATTTGGTGAGCTATATCACATAAGTCTGAACATGAGACTATAAATCTCTGAATTATAAGCAGCATACTTAGTTAAACAGGAGAGTTGCACTGCCAACTACATTCAGGAAACACCTAATTCTTTAAATCCAGATAGTGATTCCCTGAAAAGTAGACCCCGCTAAAAATCCTTTGTTAAACTGAAAAGAGTTCGAGAAAGGGTCACACTTATTATCTTTTGATAAACTGGCTTGTTTATTATGACGTATGTATATCAGATTCACTAAAGAATTGGTTGGTGGGATTGAAAAAATCTTGTGCTTGAGAATGAAATCTGAACAAATAATGCGGTACTAACATAATGAAATTTTAGATAATACAAATATGTTCCTGACTAACCTTGTTGCTGCAACAGTCTACTTCCAGTCTCCGAATGCTGGCAGAAACACCATCCACACAACTATATTTATCGCAGGCGTTTTCGCCACCAGTATTCATAGACTGATCTTCACCAAATCTGAGCGGTTCTACATACTTCTCGTCTCCGTCAAGTAGAAATCTTCGCACAATCTGGTCAACTTCAGGATCATCTGAGAACGTATTTACCTAATGAAATGATGTAATATTGCCGCATATTACCATAGCTAAATTGCAGAGGCTATTTGTTTCTGGTCTACTAGAAAGAGGCTTTCTATGGACTCCAGATGATTTTCGGTAACCTCTGGCTGAGAAATAAGAAAAGAAGCCAACTCACTAGTTGGGTTGCTAAAATACGAATATGGCGTTGAATTGTCAATACATGCTGCAGAATATCTTATATGTAAAGTAGTGTTTACCTTTAGCAGACTGAATATTTCTGTAATGGGCATCCAAATGCTGTTTTATAAGAATCTGAGAAGAAACTTTACATTTGCGAGGAAGGACCTCTACAGATTTCGTAAGAGGTATTTCAAAACTTTCAAATTACCGTTATGTCCCTGTAAGATATCGAAATTACTTTGGGAAGTAATTGTTGCATTCATTATACTACGTTAACTATGGCGCGCGGGTAGTACTCCTCAGTGCATCTACGGACGCCCAAATCGATTAACTTAAACAAACTAGCTATTCTCAATGAATGATTGCCATTTCTGTCCTTGGAGGCATTCCATTTAATAACAAAAACTTATCACCAGTTTCATAGAGCCAAATGACCGGTTTTCACTGGCTGGCTGCTGATTACTTAACAAAAAATAAAATGTAGAACATTATTTAAGTTTTGTAGGAGAGATAAACAACAGTCATAGAAGATGACAGGATAATAAAAGAAGATTGAACAGTAATACTCGTCACTATCTAGGTAATAATTATAGATTTTGTACAGCGCTCAGTATTCGGCTGTTGTTACTTTGCATTTGTTCTACTTAAGCCGACGGCCGTATAGAAGTGAACTTGCTTCTCATAGAAAATAATTTATTACGATACATCAAAGTATTAGTGTGTTTCATTCTTGTTGACTCGAAGAGAGACTTAGTTTGACATTCTCAACAAGACCTATTTTTAACCAATGCCTGCCTAACAGTGCTAACGGAGTTCATTTACTACATTCACGTACATATGGAGATTGCGATGAATTAGTGTCATGTGAACTGCAAACTTTTTTGCCGCAATGATGCATGTCGTGTCAGGAAACTTCGAATACCTCAAATCTTACATTTTAGCAAGTGCTGCATTGTGCATTCAACATTAGTAAACATGTGCTACGCTTTTCAAGCTTTTAATCGTTTAGTTCTTAGTGGTAATATATTACACTTAGTTTTCATTTCCACAGCCGGTTGATTGAAAGAAGTTTATGTTAAGGCACTGAGTCCCCCCATTCTCGTGTAAGAGATGTTTTATTTTAAAGCTTGCGAATGTAACTACTATTCTCAGTTTCACAATGACACCACTCTGACAACCAAATAATCGTATGTGTCCTCCTAACTCACTGCAGCTAAAAAGCTCCCTTTAACCCTGAAACGGAATGGATGCGAAACTACAATGTTCGTATGCAGAAATCTTTGAAAACACAGAATGAATTCGGGGACTTTACACAAGTAAACGACGGTAATGTGTCTCTAGCTCCATCTATCCAAACGGAGGAATCTCGTTTACAGCCACACCCGTCCAAAAACCCGTTAGAATATGCTGCAAGTCTTAATCATAGTAAAATTCGCCAACATAATAATTACCGACAGTTATGAGGTGCCTGCACTATACACGCATGTAATACATAAAATTTTGATTCCACGTATGGTAAAAATCAGATAAATGATACTTTGCCAGCATGCATTAATGCAGACGTTGTTCTTGCACTAAAGGGGATCAAAGGTGTTCCTCAAATGAGTTTTATCTGGGTCAATTTGCTCTCATCAGTCAATTTATTCATCTGAGAGAATTGAAACACATTGTGGCCGTCTGGATTTCCAAAGGACGGGCTTGTAGCTGTGTATTTGTGGTGTGATTGTATACCTCTGCACTCACTTCATGCCATTAATAATATATGTACATTCTTGAAGAGTCACAAGTTATTTTTTCCTTTGTCTAGTTTTGGTGGTGTTAAGAGCAGCTGGACTAGGCTAGGCGGGCCAAACTGAATAGTCAGTAGGTAGTGAGGTAAAGCCTCAGGTCTGGCGGCAACTGTGGTCACATTGCAGTCATGAATGTAATTTCTAGCTGAAGACGACCGAAAGCAAACTCGAAGCCATTCAGACAGCCCGACCGCCCAGCTCCCTGCAACGGCATTCGAGCAAGTTGTGAAGATGATGCCTGGTAAGGTAACGAGCTGGCAAGATTTGTTGCTATCGTCAATAAATTGTGTTGGCAATGTCATCAGTAAATATTATTGTATAAAAATGTGAGGCTTTATCAAAATAAATTTCATCTGTAGTGAGAGCTGGCTGTTAATCGAAACCGGTGGACAGTAATTTACGTTAATGTTTATGTCCATAATATTGGTTGTGAGAAAATTAGGAGTAAGGCTTAGCGTAGGCGGATACAGTTAACACACAGATGATCTGACATTCAGGATACAGCCACAAAGCGATGCAAAGTTAACTTTCTGAAAGAAACAGCCAATCAGAGGACTGTATTTTACTGCTAACAGTAATTTATTATGTGTACATGAAAATATAAATATGCGTTGATCTCATTAATAAACGATCTGTTGCCTGGCTCTCGTTTTCTCTTTTTACACGCCCACAACGGAATTATACTGTACCACAGTGCACAAGTTCTGTTCTTTTGTGAAGGTAACGTGAACTTCGCGACAAAATCTCCCGGCTGGCAGAAAATTGTCACACTGAAATATTCGTTTGAACTACAATGCTATATCATCTCAGCCCCCACTCGTTAACAAATGCATCACGAGGCGTCGTTGCATAAAGACGGCTTAGGGCTAAAGAATAGGTACAGTTATTTTAAGCATCCGCTCATACTGTTTCTGTATTTCACAATGCAAGACATTGATGAAATTTGTCCTCTTTTCAAACATAATGTATTTCTCAATCTCTGTGGACTTAGATTCAAGCTGCCGATGGCTTGCCATCAGGAATGAACGTGGACAGAAAATTTAGGCCATGACTATTTTCTTAACTGGTAATAGTCGCACACAATATAAATGGTCTAATAACTAAGAATAACGTTATGGACAGTCGCACATGAACATATATTCCCTCAATCAAACTCCTACTGGGAGAATCTAAGAATTAATAGGTTTACCAGGGGACAAGACGATGAGTTTACGATTTCGCATATTGTCTGTTCTTGTCTGTCACACATTTTGAAATCAACTTACTTTAAATTGCTTGTTAACAATTGTATAATAAATTTTGAGGAGTGGCTTTATTGAATACGCCCGCTATTGTAGCGTTGTGGTTCGTTGCTACGATGGTTTAATATTGTGTCATACTTTTCGAATGCTATGTGAACGAAATTTTGCACTGAAGCTTTTTTTATGATATAAGTACCGTTGGTGACACTGTATTTACTGGACCGCATCAGACTGTATACACTTGTCAGTGTCAAGGTCTACACTGGACTTAACGTTGTCCTTAGGAGATCTTCAGCAACAATGTACAATATCCAACGCGGAAAAACAGAACACAGATTTTTGGCTCCTCCCACTTAAGGCACATCGATCACTTCACCACTGGTACTAGTTTCCGAGTCCAGATTCTCGGTGCTATCGGCCACACTGCCCTAACAATGGCACCAGACCAAGGAAGAAGTTAGAGAAAACACTCGGTTCTGTGAAAGCAACCTCAAATCCTAAAGAAGCAGTAAACGCAAATTGCAATGCGCCCTCACACCTCATTTACACTGTATAGGTGCAACAATGAAGACGACCGCCAAAGTCAGCCAAGTATCTTGGCTGATCCTGGAGAAAACATTGAAAGCAGACCGCTCCCATCGGAAATAACCAGAAAAAAGGAAGTAAGTATTTCGAAAATGTCCAAAAGTACTGGCAGATCTTCAGAATAAAACATAAGATGAAAGTTTAAGTAAATTAAGCCTTTCCAAAATCAGGTAGTGCCTGCTGAGAATTGAATTAATTATTTCCTATAGGGTTATAAATGACCTCAAGTAAGGTATCCTGCCACCAAGTCATTACAGGCTTCCTCCTTGCAATCCACAAAACACGACTCACCAGGGAGCAGAGGCACGACTTGGCACCGTTACTTTTCTCTCAGAGTTCACCGTCTCCGGAACTATGGTGCAGTAGCTGTGGCTACTGTACTACCCATTGAAAGCATTGAACGGAGGCTGGAAATCATGCAGTAATACAAAAGCTATACCCCAACGGTCTTTCTTCCAAAAGCTCATACACCATAGGATTGATGAGTATATATCTAAGCCTTAACCACTGCTTTTTCATATCCGAGCCGCTCTTTTGATTATTCTGCCTGTTCATTCATTCATTTTATTTTCGGATGAAGGAAATCGCTGAAAAGGTATCTATACTGGACTTTGTATTCTCTTCTTTATAACATTTTATTTTCGTTATTATTTCAGTATATTCAAATTTCATTACCTGCTTTTACGTTTTTCTTTCAGGTATACTTAATCAACACAAATTTTATCTATTATAATCCCGCTTTTCGACTACAACTCACGATTAACAGTTGAAACGATCAAGTCTAGTCGTAGCAGCTATAAGTTCTTAACACATCGCTTACTGCAAACAATATAACCCTTCCGCAAACCGCTCACATTGGAATCAAACGAAGCTGCTGTATTACAGTGACTAGATACACCATACAGGAGTGTAACAGAGATCGGGAATTCAGGCCTTTTAACTTAGAAGTGAGCACAAGAAACCAATTTGGTTTACACTAGATGTAAAGCGATATTACATTTACTTGTTTACATTCTGCCCTATCTTACTATCCTAACTAATCTAGCTGCAGCGCTTGCACAGCTCATATAAATGATATTGAATATTGTTACGTTTCCTATTTTCGTTTCTGTCTCTTAGTCTGAATAGCTTCACTAATTATATTTATTATTATTATTACTATCTCTTTTCTCTTGTCGACAATACCGAAGGACTAACTGGCGAAAGGATCAACTCCAATCACAGTAGTAACAGTCTTAACATACCTCATACCACAAACCACATATAATTAATCCCAGCACTACTCCCTTTGGAGTCAACCAAAGCTACGACAGTCGAGTGGCGGGACGAGCAACGCAGAAGTTTACCGAAGATCAAGAACCTATACCTCACAATCAAGAAGCGAGCACAAAGAAATCAAATTGGTTTATACTAGCTCGTAAAAACGATATTGGATATTGAATTCCGCGTCTTTCAATAGTTTCGTTTCAATTTGAAGGTTATATGTGTTTACCCGAAAATGTGCTGTTACCATGTGATATAAACTGCTGGAGTGAAATAAAATGCATTTTGCAGTGCATGCTTCAGAAAAAAATGACCCTGGCTGAAAAGTTTTACTTATTATATGATATTGAGAGTTTATTTCATATCAATGTAAAACGATGCAACCGACTGAAAATTTGGCCAGCCAGCAGCATTTATACTGGTTTGGGAAATTTCATTAAGTTTTATATGGGCGAAAAGGAGAGGAAATATTTTGAGTTGCACACACTGCCTTTTATTTTGGACTGTGTTGTTATGACTGAAATGATATCACGTGACAGTAGACCATCGTATTGCTCTACGAATCAAAGTACGTTTGTGTATAGGTTCATCTTGTGATTTCTAGAGCGTTCGAAGTTGATACAATACGACACTTGCACATCTATTGTTGCGTGTTCTTTTCTTTGTTTATTACCTACTCATCCTAAATACAACCAGTGCTCGAGTGACTTTAACTTTACCAGTGTTTTCCTAAATATATTTCCCAGGTATGTTCTTAGTTGCTGTAACGTTTTTGTAGCAAATCTCTACAAGTGAAGGATCTGTGGCGTGTGGTCTCGTATTTTGAATTTTGTAGGACTTTTAAATCATCTCTACAAGGTCTAGTTGTGTCACATCGATCTTGGTCATGTTTAGATTTACAGAGACATCTATCAGACATCAATGGCGTGAATGCTTTTTCGCTATCTAATTATGACACTCTGAGGGGAATTTTATCTTATGCACGTCTTCCTCTTCTGTTAGTTGACAATATTTTGAATGAAGAACAAATTGCTCTTGAAGCACACCTTCCTACTGTAAGTACACCAATTTATTCTTGCTATTAAACTCTTCAAAACGGTTCTTTCTTTAGTATACACTTACGACTGAAGCAATACTGCCTAGACTAAGTATAATCTGAGTAATTATTTGAGTGCTTTGTAGTATATGGCTATTGTAGATTTAGAATACAGACAGACAGACAGATTTAGGATACACATCTACAAGTCTGTGGGCAGTAACTACTTTCCTATGCTTATACTGGAGAAATGGGTTTATTTTTGTAGCACGTGAAAAAGAAAAACAGCGGAGCCAAGGGGACATCTGCCTAAGGCCTGTCACAGCGCGATTATCCAATATCGTTTTTACGAGCTAGTATAAACCAATTTGACTTCTTTGCGCTCACTTCTTGATTGTAAGGTACAGGTTCCTGATCTTCGGTAAACTTCTGCGTTGCTCGTCCCGCCACTCGACTGTCGTAGCTTTGGTTGACTCCAAAGGGAGTAGTGCTGGGATTAATTATATGTGGTTTGTGGTATGAGGTGTGTTAAGACTGTTACTACTGTGATTGAAGCAGTTTTTTGGAGGTGTTTCAGCATTAAAATCTTACCACCGGCTATGGACCACCGCAGGTCAAATTGGGATGTATAGGTTTAGGGGCGACAGCTGACTTGCTGTAAATCTGGGGGAAACATCTTACTGCCGTAACATCTCTGTTCACCCACAGACCCCCAAAAGTTTAAACCAGTCACATTATGATGATAACCGCTTTTGGTCGGACTTCTATCCAAACAATCTTTCTGACATGGCAGGACTTTCGTAGACATCAGTTACAGCTCGTTGGGTCTATGAAATATGCAAGCCCAAGTCATCAGCTCTCGGCCAAGCACAGATATTTTGGTCAGGGATAAAATGCTCCTAGCTCATTTTAATACAAATGCACCTTTATTAAAATCCAATGTTAAACATCATAATGTGCCTACTCCCTTTTAGAATAAATGAAATTAGTTAGAAACTTTGCTTGTAGCCTAGTACGTTGGAATGAAGCCTAGCTGTATTGCTACAACATATGTATGCACTGCTATCTCATAGGTGTTGTCATAAATGTAGTGAATCAGTCGGAGTTTCTTGAAAATATTCTTTTGTTTCGTATACAAATAATAAGCTTAGCAAATTTAACAGGTTATCACCCAGCCTTACCTTATATTTATAACTACTGTTTTTTCATTATTGTCGAATAATGCTACTTAAAGTGCCTGTTTTTATAGGGTAATAAAATATGTGGTGGTTTTTCATTTGTTTGCTTCTTAACCGTTTTGAACTATAGGTTCATTTCATGAGGCCGCATGTGGGAGGGGTGCTATTCGACGGTGGCATATCGCAAGCGGAGTCACTTTTCTCAAAGTACCCAGATTTAATCTCTATCATTCCTTCATACCAAAACTTAAGCGATGGAGAGTCGCTATGGATTGATCACTATCGAGGTCCATTTCTGCCCGAGACACTTGGCGCCTTTACTGCAGTGGACCGCTTTACTGAAGAAGCTGTTAAATGGCGTCGCTTAGTTTTGTTAAACAGTAATCAATATCCAACATGGATGTCTGAAATCCACTACTCTACACAGTGTCTAATTAACGAAATAATTTTTGTTACCGCTGGTCTTTCTCCTGACGGATTAAAAAGTAAAGATGAAGTAAGTGTAACAAGCCTTGTTTTATCGGCATATTGCCTTTTTTAATGTTATTTTAGGTTGTAAAACATATTACGTAGAATACTCCTGAATTTGGTTTTGAATATAGCCGATTTCTGATGGATTTGTTTACTCTCAAATTTCCAAAAACTTTTTTAGTTGTTCCTAATGTTTTTATAGTAAACTAAAGTTTATTTGCCAGCGAAAATAGCTGGTTTCAAAAGTACTTGTTTAAGATGTGAAGATTATACTAGTTATTTTTATAACAATCGTTAAGTTGACCGCGTTATATAAGAAGCTACATGTATTTCTTTTATAAACAGTTAATGGGTTACTTTTCTTTACAAGTACTAGTATTTCTCAGCCATTACTAGTCTTGTTCATAGCTCATTATGTTACTTTAACAGTGTCATTTATCTGTATAGGTTTTGTAAGTATGTCGTGTAACATTAAGTTGAATACGTTGGTTAGTTGTACAACTGACTACTTGATTTTTTGATGTTCATACCTTGTATCAAATCTGGAAGCAGTTATTAGTATCTGAAACATCTGTACTGTAGTCTCCAAAAGCATTAGTAGATTCCTCCAGTCTTCACATGATATGTCTAAAGGGAAACATCCGATAAGAAATCACCTGCAGGAGTGATAAGACAAAATGATTCTGATATACCCATACAATTTTTTTTATTTATAAGAATCATTGTTAATTCATCCAATCGTGAAATCACTGTCAGTGCTGAGCAGCCTTTTGTTATTTATTCATTTCTAGCATATTCGTCCGGAAATTTTCAGTTCCACCTGGTGGGATTATCTTAAATCGAAATCAGGTAATATGATTTTTTTTTGCGTTTTACCAGCCAACTTTTTTTCGCAAACAAATTCATCTCCAAATAACTTTTATAGGTTTAATAAAACTATTAGCATGTGAATTGGTGGATAGTGACTAGCAGTGAAATCTAGGATGTGCATTTCGTCCTATTTCGCGCTCGTCAACAGGACGTACGTGCATCCCCCAGTGAGTGGTGGTGTTCCCACCAAGGCTCGAACACATTGCCCATAGTTTCAAACGCCGATGCGTTATCCACTAAACTACTTGGGCCCCAAGAACCATCTCTCGCGCTTTGATATTTGAAACTATGGGCACCGTGTTCGAGCCTTGATGGGAACACCATCACTCTCCGGTACGTCCACTTCACGAGTCCCAAATAGGATGAAATGCGCATCCTGGATTCCATTGCTAGTCCCACTCCACCAATTGACTTCAAGTTACATGACCAGATATCGTCAAAGCTCCTGCACATGGAAGCGACATGTCAACCTGAGATCAAGCACTTCGGTCCAACCAGTCGACGGGAGAATCTAAAATAGAATTAAATATTAGCATGTCATTTTGAGTTTTTTTCTAAAAACATGATTGATATTAAGTGTTTGACAGAATATCATCTAGTCGAATTTTATCCTCGTTCTTATCTATTAGTGAATATGTGTGCTATGCAGAAAAATGCATGTTAATTTCTGACTGACTGACTGGTTTCAAAATAGAATTTTTTGAATGTCATAAAATACTAAACTAGGACAATAACCATAGTAAAGTTGTTGTACACATGGAGAAGTAATTCTCTGTCAGTCTTTCTGAATAACGGATGTGCAATTTAATTGTATCAACATTACTTATGAGTCCTATGTTGTTGCGGCACATAGGAAATATTCAGTTTTAGCGACAAGTATACCAATAATATTCACCTAGTCTTTGTTCGCTAGGTGTAATATAGTTTTGGAATTCAGCATATGCATGGTATGATCAATCGTGTTGTTTCTGGGTATATTTCTGACGGAAGTCGACAGTAGATATCTGTGAAATTAACGGTAACTGTCATTTGATCAAATATCTTTGGGTTTTTCTTTTGCGTTAGAAACAATTTTAAACTCATTGGTCTATTTCAACTTGCGTAATGGTTTCACTCATGATGTAACTCTCATTTTCAGCTTCACTTAACTATTTACTGCAGTGTCAAAGTTCATGGTTCTTAAACGTCAAGACTAGTAACAGCTTCATAAACTTAATACTCAACCTGACAGTAAATCAACTCGCTGTTTTGTATATATTTCCCACACAAGTAAATAATTCTCTCAAATTGCTAAGACAAAAATAATTAACGAATTAAATTATTGAGAAATCTAAACGAGACATCGATTCTTACTACATTTTTAAATGACAGTAAGTAGTTCGATTTGTGGATACTTTGTCTTCTTTCCAATATCACCACCAAACCATTTGTAATATGCTTCTGTAGCTCCACTGACCTAATGGTTCGGCTATTTCTTTCTAGGAATATCCACATAAAGTTTTTGCCACACCATAAAAGTTTGCTAAATATTAGTATAGCTTAAAGAAATAGTATTATGCTGTAAACTGTTTGTTCTGTAGTGAAAGTTTAAGTGCAATATTACCTTAAGTGTAGGCCTGGTTGGATGGATTACTAATGTTTTGCACCTACAAAGAATATGAGTAACAGTTGACCACAGTGATGCACATATATGCAACTTTTGTTCTTTAAATCTCAAGCAGTTTTTCCACCATATGCATGTTTCTTCCTTCCATACATCACTGTCATCCCACTTTCAATTATTTATTAATTTGTTGTTATGAAACGCAGTGCTTTAGCGTTAGGTTTGATATCATTGTATCTGTTTACTATTTCTCCACTAATAAGTGCAGAAAGGTCTCTTTTCTGAATTACGTAATAAGCGAAAACAGTTGGGCTATGAACTCATGCACAATAATGAGTAGAAATCAGAGAAATATGCAAAACAATTTTAATCAGTATTAGCGGGTAGTTTAGCGTCGGTGGCATAGCGGTTAGGACCCTAGCCGACCATGCACATGGTCCGGGGTTCGATCTCCGGCCACCGACGCACTCCTTTACCTCGTTGGGCCAGAAATAATGCTGGTAAAGAGGAAAGGTTGGGCATGGGGCTAGCAACCCCATCCTGTAAAATAAACACTGCTACAGAAACTTCAAGCCACTAGCTTGAAGTTCTAATTTCCACTGTGGAACGTGAAGGAAAAAAGGTGAGTAGTTTGTTAAGTTTTAAGGAGATTGTTATGCAGAATGTTAGGAACGGTTAGAATTACCATCAAAAAGGTTCACTGTTTAGTCGCAATGTACAGTTTTAGATGTGAGTATTAAATTGTGAGGAGCAGTACAAGGACTGTCCAGTTGAAAACCGATTTCTACAACATGGTCGTATCAATGACATCAAATTTATCTCTTACAAGGTTAAAATGGTCATAGTTAACATAGCATAACAAAGAATAGCATATCGTAATTACTATTAGACTTGTAGAATAGTTTATCTGATGTAGATATTAGCGGAAGTGTTAAATTCTGAAGTAATGGTATCTGATGTCTCCCCTGCTAGTTGTTTTCATCTGTGTTAAACGACAAAAATTAACATCATAAGAGGATTTTTCTAACTAGTTTTATATTGAAATATACTTTGACCTGTAGTAATCTGACCCCTAACTAAAACCTAGTATTAATAAATGTAACAAATAAACAGAATAAATTTCATGTTTCACAACAGGGTTTTCTTTCCATAATAAGAGATCATTTAATCAACATAAACCCTAAAAGTGCTGTCGAATAGTAACGAATAGTTAATTTTAAGTTATTGCTGACTACAGTTTGTTTACAGTTGTCCAGTAAATTTTGAAATCGGATTTTATGATGATTAAATATCAACATTTACTTACATAGTTTCTGCCTCACGTTATGAAATAATTTCCTCAGCAATAAGCAATCTTATATTGCCTTCCATTGACTTAAAATTTGTTTTTACTTACCGGTTTCATAGCAATTTCCATGAGTTGTAGTGTACATGTATAAATTCTAAAACTACTGGAACACTCTGTCTCAGTTATTATGTGTGATGGTAATAAAGAACTCACACTACCTCGTTAGGTGTTAAAAATTACAAACAGAATAATAATCAACAAGACCAAACAGTCTTGTTAGTGATTAATTCATTCCGAATTGTTTTATAATTACATTGGAAGTCATAAATATGTACCGCTTATAAAAATAAATACTCTGACTTAATTCTTCCTTACAAATTGTTTTGATATACTGCTTAACATGTGGAGGCTTATAATGCTAGTAGGTTACGCTGTTCAAAGTAGGTGGAGTGGGATTTGAATATGATAGTGCTTAAGTTAGTGGAGATCGTGTGAAGAGGAGTTGAAACAGTATGGACTAACATGGATGCAGGTGAAAAGTACAGAAGAAGACAGAAGCAAATGGAGACGTGCAGTTGAAGCCCTATGTTCCACTAAGGAACCCAAGGGAATAATAATAATTAAGTTAGTAAACCGTATTACTACTAGTTATCACAGATTATGAACTATGCTGGGGCATTTTATCAAGGCAAGCGTATTCATATTCAGTAAGTAACTATCCAATTAGTCAGCAAAATACTAAGTTTCTCTGTTTCAGTCTGTTTTTGAAATAATGGATTATTACAAATTAAATATCTCTAGTTTCTGAACATTATGTAATACAAGTAATTTATTCTCAAATATTGGTTTTGTAGGGATTTTGTTTATTTGGATGGAGGATTTCATCATAAGCTGACATTAGTTAGAGAACCACTGGAAGACCTGGGGGTACTAGACAGTGGTTTCATCCTAGTTTTGGACTCTTCATCAGTACGCATCCACCGGGGTTCGAACCCGGGACCTTCTGGTTACAAGGCGAGCTCGTAGACCATTGAGCCACTGGGACCCGATCCAATGGTCCTTGAATTCTAACTTCTGCCGATTCACGACATAGCGCGACCATTTCGCAATGTCTTCTTCGATGAGTCACTACTTCATCTTCAACCTGCTGTACCCTACTAGTCACGGCTTCCCACTAGAACCCCAGGTAACTACCTACCTGAATAGGACCAGTCACTAGTGAGCATCAGATTAATTTTCAAATACTGGTTTTGTAGAGATTTTGTTTGATTTCACGGAGGAATTCATCATGAGCTAGGACGAAACAGTTGTCCAGTACTCCCAGGCTTTCCAGTGGTTCTCTAACTGATGTCAGCTCATGATGAATTCCTCCGTGCAATCAAATAATTTATTATGGCGTTAAGTATATTTATGACAGTTAAGTCCAGTAGATTCCCCTAATTATATTCTCCCGTAGTCTAATCAAAGGCCATTGTGTCATCTTGGCAAGTAGTGTGGGTTAATCCTTAGACAATAAGTGTCGCTCATTACATGTCACACGAATATGCACATCATTGAATTGTCATCCATTTTAATCTTTAACTAGGGACTATGGAACACTTGCATTGTGTTTATCTAAACACACACTTCTCTGAGTATCCTGATTGCCTATTTACTAGGTTATTAAAAGCCTCTGGTTCGAGTTCTTATATAACTAAAGGTTTCTTCGATATCATGTTTTTATGTTAAGTCTTATTTGCCTTTATCAAGTGCTGTGTCCATTTTCAATTTGTTTATTATATTAGCATCAGGAATTGAACAGAGGTATACTAAAAGCAGTCGACTTTCATCTAATGATTTCACATATTCACCTAATACAGCTATAGAATGTGTACAAACTACAATTGCCAAATCTCTAGTCGATTATGCAGATAAATTTATATCGGGAGTAATCTGTGAGAGTCTAAACAAATTGGCAAGAGGGAAGACTAACAAACTGTCGAATTCCGGTGATCGAACACTTCTCAAGAAATCTCAAATTGGTAGATGTCATTCAAATCAACGTACTTCGAGTGTATTTACACCATTAAATTCAAGCGATTTAAGCGGGAAACTATGCAAGAATATTTTTAAATCTACTGAACATCACTTTAATCCTAGGTTTGTTATTTTGATTTATAATTGAAATAATCTTATAATGATATAATGTCTTTAAAGTGATAGAAAAGATTTAATTGAACCTTAATTGGTTGCCATTTAGAAACTCGCATACCTTAACTACTATCTGGTTCAATAAAATACAAATATGGATTGATGAATTCATTGTTTGGATGGCTGCAGAAACTTTCCTCTGAATATAGATTGTATGAAAAGTTCGACTTCCTTGAAAGGCGAATGTCAGAAAAATGAGTATCGAAAGAAATTAATAAGACGATATTGAGAACGTTACTATAGACGAGAGAAAGCCAATAATATCGAGTGAGAATAATAGTTGCCCATGCTACAACTTATACAGCAAATAAGCTTGTTCCAGTTTACAGCACTATTTGTGCTCTTCATCAACACAAGTTCGACAGGTGCTCATCAGAAGTCATCTGCAATTATGTTTACAAATTCACATGTAGCTGCCGTAGAAAGTACATTGAGAGAATAGAAAAATGGGCATCCATTGGCTTCTACGAAAAAGTCCCAGGAAGCCCTGAGACTCCAAGGTCCTCAGTCTCCTACCTGCATAATTGCCCGGCATATAATCAAAAAGAGATGCAAAGTAACTATTCTAACTGCAATCATTAGTATCAACAAGCAACGAAATCCCACTTTACTACGATCTGCCGAGTCAGTTGCTGTCAACAGACTTACACCCAATCAGTGTTTGCAGGAAGAAACTGAGATTAATCTCACTTTAGCCTGCTAATAATTTTTGTCACCTATTACATAATTATGCACTCTAATTTTTATTACTATTATTATTGATTTTTTGACTCACTAAACTCAACTCACCTAATTGATTTCTAATTACTTCAAAATGCTTTCTTCTACATGCATGTCACTGGCTAATTAGCGTTTTGTTGTTAGTCATATACCAGAAAGTTTTGAATCTTACAAGCTTATTATAAATAACGAGTTTCTTCCCGTTTCTATTGTAGTGAATATGCCATCACATTGCATTCATTGCTATTTTGTTTTACCGTAACATTCATGCTTAGCCTCTGCTCAGCAGAGCTGAAAAATGGATATTCTTATTTCACTAATCCTATGTATATTTTAGGCTGTCTTCAGCTGAAGAGAGACCTCGAAACAAGACGCTCCAAATCTTGTTCCACTAGTTTTATCAAAGATGACCTATTGAATACGTTGTTTCGGATTAGTGTATTACCTTTCCACCTTCGACTTTGTAGTGTTATAAGTTTATGTAAGCGTTTGATTTTAGTGTTGTATAATATTCGAAAAGATTGTCGCCCTTCTATAAGCAACCTAAAAGTGTAGTAAATTTACTCGATATTAGCTGATAATTTGCCGACACGTTTTTAACTACTTATAAGTAGCTGGAGTTGTCACAATATGTCTTGTTCGAAATGCTGCGTTGATCTCATTTTGGTTGTCTGCTAGTAATTTTTGTAGACTCACGTTTCTAGGATAGACTGATATGCCAATCACGGTGAATGCACCCAAAAGTCTACCTGGAGATGACAAAATGATGGTACCACTTTATTCTGCAAAAACTGTAGTTCTTGCTTAGTTCAAAATCGAGAATATGTGGCTACACAAAGATGTTTATGCTTCTTAAGAAAATAAGAGACAATTCAGGGAGAGAAATTTTCTTTATCGAAAAATTCGTCTTCAAAGGCTGCGTAGGGATATTTACATGTATGAAAGTTTATTAGTGTACTATAGAGAGGTTGACATAATTGATACACTTACTGACAAGTGATTCTTAAAGTTTGGAGGGAAAATACGTAACAATAACCGACACAATGTAAGGAAGAGCTTAAGTGATAATAATACTAATAATAGTAATGACTTTATTCTGCGGAATAGATTAATATATATTGCAGGATTCCCAACAGGTCTCGTCACGAAGTATATACTCCCTTGGCTGGTTTATTCAAGTTGATTAATAATCGGTAATATGTCATTTGAATCAATATTGTCCCATTTATAGAGCACCCTGTAATTACCTGTTATATTTCTTCTCAACTTCGAAAAATCCTTAGCATTGAAAATAGACATGGTTATAGATCTTGCTTCAAGGACATTGTGGAATAATTAAAGTAACATGAAACAGTAGGTAAGATGGATTCTGATAGATGGGAAGTTAGTTTTAGCCTAGTGATTTAAATATGCCACCAGAATTAAATGAGATAAGAAAAAAATAGAGGCAAACAAGTAAGTAGATAAGTGTTTAAGACCATAGTAGAATAACAGATTGAACAAACCTTTTCTGCACAAAGCGTTTAGAGTTGCGTTGACTCATCGCTAGCATCTGCGCAATACATAAGCATCGAAACCCAACACTCATTGTACCATCCGATCTTACTTTGTGGATGATTTTAAAAAGATGAGTCTGGTCTAGCTGAGTAGCCTGAGTTCACTAGATGTTCGGGAATTTAACCGGTGATTGGTCTGCATCTTCTTCTTGATAACTATGCTAGGTGATGTTCTGATATGCATTTATATGGTGTGTACTTTGTGCGGCCAACATAGCTAGCTCCACAGGACAAGGTGAATTTATAAAATCACATTGAAATAGTCCAAAACAGCAGTTTGCCTCCAATTATCCACAGACTGTTTGCCGTAGATCAACTGAAAATGCTATTCTCAGCAAACTGAACAGACAGTTTTCCAGAACCTCAGACGAGGTATCACCTTTAAATCCAACATTCATAAACAGAAATTTTTTCGACGCTTGTGAATTCTCCCAGGCTGCTCCTCCACCCGTATTTTTTTTCAATGAACCATGTAGGCCATCCATTTTGATTGACAATCTGTCTAAGTTTCTGCAGTTCACTGATGTGAATCCTTCTTATTCTCGAAGATAAGGTTTCTCTGTCTTTGCTAAGGGATTCAACTATGAAAATTGATGTATGGACCTTCTCTGAAGAGAAATATCAGATCCTCTTTTCAACAAAACATCCAAAACAAATAAAATTCAGAGTTGATCTCTAATTTCTATGTGAACTAGATAGGATGATAACAATTGTTGAACTCCTGCGTAATAACTTCGATTTCAGTATCTGAGTCATTTAGGATGAATGTATCAAACATGTATAATTTTTACATATGAAAACTCCCAACACTGGGTCGTAACCATAAAACAATTCGCAAGCTAGTAGAGGACTCAATGGCAACTGTATTATCACTCTGCTTTCTTTTGTCTGTACAATGTGCCACTGAACTTGAACCGGACGTCAAAGTACACCTCGACAGTAGTTGTTTTTAAGTAGTAGATTGGAACTCCCACATTCAAATTATGATCATCGATGAATTTGCATTGGAAACTTAGTTTTGGTGATAGGGAAACGAACAGAAAAACCCCAGAATATTATTTCCTTCCCATTGTGACACAACTTGTTCATGTTAGTCATACTGTAAGTTTGTTTAATACATATAAATTTCTCTATGGAAGCTAGAGTTCACATCTATAATGTGAAAATTGATGCCAAACATACTGATTTCATAGATTAGAATGAATGCAATTGTCTTAATCCAGTGAACTCACTTGGCTATGCCACAGTCCTGCTTTAGTATTCTTCACTTCAGATTTTTGCTTCTTTATTCATTAGGATGTATATAAAACTGCAATCTGCCGTTGTTTCACCATCAATCGCTAGATAGAATTAGTTGTAGCCTGTTACGAGTACGAACCCTTCTCCACTCACCAAGATTCTGACTACCAGGTGACATCACTATTACTTACATATCCAATATGTAGCAATTACTTAATTGCATCTGATTGAATGCACATTAAAATTATCAGTCGTATTAATATATTAATGCAAGTTATAACAAAAATATATGATAAAAGAAAGCTGAATGACTGGTTTCAACGTAGAACTGTGCACAGATGTGCAGTAGTTCGATTCGCCACACCCCATGAAGCACACAAAGCAAGAGGAGAGAGTAAAAAGAGATTCAAAACAGAGATAATAAATGTGAGGCAAAAAGAATAGTAATATGGAAGAACAATAGCATTTTATTGGATATCATAAATCAAAGAGTGAGTGCATTTCTGCCATAACTGAGAACGATTTTGAGCCATATCACCATTTGTCTCCAACCTTTGGTTTTTGCCATCCCGAAGAACCCAACCAGGAAGTTTACACCGCCCTATGGGGCTGTCTTAAGCTAACTGTTGTGAATTTTATTGACTGATTAAGCCATGTTGTGGTTTGCCCACAAAATTTTTATTTTATTTATTTTGATTACAGCTTGATTCCACATTGTATTTTTGGTACAAGTATGGAATTTTCAGCGTGGATATCGGTAGCCCAAATTTCGCAGGCCGACCATAGATATCAGGTGTGCGTCGGCGTGGGCTCGAACCCCGGACCATGTGCATAGTCGGCGAGAGTCCTAACCACTGTGCCACCGACGCACAAGCCCTTTTCCAACCTGATCCATCCTATGTCAGCTAACTTTGTCCGTTTTCGAGGAACGCGGTCGATGGCTAGGTATGCATGTGTAACACATGTCCTAACCATCTCAATCGGTTTAACTTCACAACCTTGTCGATTGAATGTCCCTCCTTACCTGGCACTCAACCGATGCCTAACCTCAATGTTGGCGACCCAATTATACCATCTAACGCATACGGGAGATAAAAAGCAGACATCTATGGTCAAAGACAGCTTACCAGGCTTTTCATATCTTACACTTTCAATGGCCATGTCACACAACCAGCCATAAAAGAGGACAGAGAGAACTGCTGAGTAGTACACACGCCTTTAGTCGACAGTCAGTCGGATATCACATCTACGCCAGAGATGGGGTAGATTGACATATGCCAAACGAGCTTTCTGTATCCGTGCTGAGATTTCATAAAAGAAAGCCCAAACTGATGATATTATAATTATGAAATTTCTTTTCTTTTTCTCTCTTCTGTATTTTTCAGTTATAAAACAAGCAGTTGTATAAATCAATGTAAAATCACTGAACAAGGAAAACTTAGCAAGCCAATTGTATATTATGCTAGTGATTTAGTGAAAGAATTTGTTAACTACGTACGTTATTTGATTACAAATATTTATCCTGGTTTTTCTAACAGGTACAATATTATCTGTTACTATTGTATTAATGACTAGGAGTGAAACTAAGGAGACAGTTTTCGGCTTACTTAAGATTTGTCAGATAAATGTACTTGCATCTTATTGTGATTGTGTTCTCATTGAGACCCCGAATTCAACACATTACGTTATATTTCAAATCAACCACTTTTTGTACAGCAAGTATGATTCGATGTTATGCAATGAGTGATATTCATAATCTTTTGTTAATGTCATTCTGATGGGCGTTGGGCTCGTATACTAATGCGAAACTACATCATTTGGAGTGTTAGTTATAACTTAGTTAACCATAAAAAGCTTCTATCATGAACCGGGATATCAGCTATACATATTGTTGTGTTAGTGTTATGCAGTTGTTCAACCTGAAGTGTTTGTAGCGGATTTTAACACATGCACCACCGACTGCAAGTCGATTGCCTAAGCCAGTGAGAGTGAGTGCATTCAGTTGACGAATCCAAAGTATGACGAAACTCAAGTTCTTAACTCCACTTTTTATTATTATTGTTCCCTTGGGCTCCTAGTGGAATATAGAACTTCAACTGCACGTCTCCACTTGCTTCTGTCTTCTTCTGTACTTTTCACCTGCATCCATGTTAGTCCATACTGTTTCAACTCCTCTTCACACGATCTCCTCCATGTCACCCTTGCACTGACGTCCCAGTCGCCGCTTCCCTTTCGGCCTGGTTCCACTCGAGGAATGGCCTGACACGCGCGAGATGTCACCCAGTGGTCTCCTCAGCGAGTGTCCAATCCATCTCCACTTTCTCTGCATATTTGTTGGTTGGCGATTGGTTCTTGTTTTGTTTACTCCCATAGTTTCTTGTTGGTGATTCTTTCCGGCCCGGCCATCTTATCTTTAGTATAGAGCCAGCGAAGAGAGTTGTTGATAAAGGTTGGCAACAGGCTGTTGGAAATATTCTTTGTGACCTGCCCGCCAAGTTTCTGATCCGTATAGAAGAACTGACTAACTTGACGTCTGTATTGAAAATCCGACTGAATTTTGTTGTCGATGCTGAGTGATGAAGATTTCCAGATTGGTTTCAGGTTGATGAATGTGTTTCTCGCCTTCCCGATTCTCGCTCGATTTGACATCCTCGTCCGTTCCGACTGCTTGTTGTTAAGACAATGCCCCCTAGATAAGTGAATGAAGTAACCTCTTTCAAATCCCTCCCGTTGATGGTGATTGACGCTGGATGTTGCTGCTGTTGTTGTTGTTGTTGGTTGGTTATTTTCATAACCTCCGTCTTGTCTATGTTCACCTGGAGTCTTGTCTTCACTGTCTGCTTCTTCGACCACTTTGTCGGTTTTCGCATTTAAGTCTTCAATTTTGTGTGACATCAAACATAAATCATCCGCTAAATCCAGGTCTTCTAGGTTTTTCACGTCCGTCCAGGATATCCCTGGACCTTATTAAACAATTTTTTTTAGTTTTCCTATTTGTTATTTTAATTCTAAGGTGAAGCACAACTAAGTAGGTTTACTGATAGATATGTGCTTTTTGTATACGCTGCACAAAGTTGATTAGATCGAAATAGTTTAGAATTTCCCTTATTCTTCCACATTGTTATTCACTTCTTTCTATTTTTCTTTTTGTTTTCATCAGGCTCAAAACGTATCAACTCTTCGTATTCATCAGTTAAATGTGTACTCTGATAAATTAGTTGCTAATATACTTCAAAGTGCAAATAAATTATTGAAGTGGTCAAACCATTTGTCTAAACAAATACTTACTGAAGTTAAATACTCAAATAATTTGGGCATAAATTATAATATTATGAACCAGAATGTTATGAATTCAATTAATTCAATAACTAATAAAGAGGTGGTTGAAAATAATAAAACAAATACTACCAACAGTGAAAAACATCCTATGAATAAAGACTTTCAACAGTGTCGAATGTCTCAGTCGAATAATCATTTGAACAGTCATGAAAAATACTCCATACTGAATAAAGACAATTCACTTGATGATCAGTCCTGTCAAACAATGATTATGGATTCAGAAATGAAGGTAATTTTGCTATTAACTCTATGATTGAGTGTGTGTTTGCGTACCCTACCAGCTATAACTTCTCATTTGAATTCTCAAAACTGATCACTATCAAAAAGTAGATCAGTATTCAAATGTTGCTGTTGTAAGGAAAAAATGGATTGGTTGCAAGGTAGTTTTTCTGTAATGAACAGTTGTTTTCTGTCTGATAGCTGGCTGATACATACATAGATACACGACGAAGTGTTCACATTGTGTCCTATCCAAGTGCATCTTTTCTACATAACGTTACATGTTTGATACAAGTAGTATTTATAATTTCAGTTCTAACCAACTTACGCTTGATTTATTATGTTGCGCTGTTTATACACCTACAATCTGTGCTGTTTTGGCGGTCTTACGGGAAAATATTGGGTTCGAACCCTGGTGGGTAAATAATGCTGAAGAGCTCCAAACTAAGACGAAACAGCTGTCCAGTATTCCATGGTTTTCCAGTAGTTCTTTAAATGACATCAGGTCCTGATCAGACTTGTAACTAATCAGACTCTTGCAAAATGACACTTGGTAGCAATCTGTTTTTCTAACTGAATAGTAGCATGCATAAGCATTCAGCCTTTTACACTGATAAAGAAAGGCGGAAGACTTCGCATTAATGTTTTCTATACGATTGCTGGTATTTGACGTGTGATTCTGTGATAAAGAAAAAAATCTATAGTGGTCCTTGTGTTTTGGGTTTGTTGGAGCTTATCAGCAAGGGGTACATTTGTAACCGTATAGAAAATTGTAGCCGCTCAGAGATTAGGTCACTCAGTTAAGATATAATTTCCCTCAGAATTACAGATTTCCTTTACTAAAAAGTAGTAACAAGCACGACTTCCTGTCAATATACTGCTTCTCTTATGTCTGATATCGATTGTAGTGAATAGTAGTATTCAGATAGGCAGTCATATTGCGCATGTGATTAGTAGGTTTTTGCCTAGATACACTGGGTAACCAGTACTTAGTAGTAAGCATTGTGCCTTAGCATGCATATTTCTCCTGTCGCTTCTAAATATTATCCTGATGGAATTTAAAAGTTCTAACTAACTGTCTCATACGAACTGACAACCAATCAATATTTTTACTGTGGTTATGTATATTATGAGGGTATCTCACAGCTTTGAGAGAAAATAAAGTTGTATGAAGAATGTGTTGGTAATTTCATTCTATTTATCGCTTGGCATTTTTTTTACAATAAAGTCACCAAAGCTGATTATTGGATGTATTCAATCAAGTAATAAAAGGGATAAAAGTGTGTTTACTGTGAATATCTTTTATTTATTTCAGATTGTAGAAGAATCATCGCTAAAACCTCAAGCAATGAAAGACATTAAGAAGTCTGATAATTGTATATTCCCTAAAACGGATCCCATTATTGTATGTAAAGATGATGATGATCATACAAATTCTAAAAAATCTGTGTTTAAATTGATGGTGCAAAGCATAAATTACCGCAGATTTTTGTTTCAGAAAATATATCTGAATTTGCAAATAGTCTAGTTGTTAAGTGTATCACATTAGCGTTTGGAGAAATCTACATTCAAAGGATGTCTTCATATTTGAATCATGTAGGTTTGTTTGAAGTATTTTGTTTCTTTTTTTGATTATTTAACACAACAACAAATATTGATTATCAGGTTTTGACTCATTCAGGTAGTGAATGAAAGGTTCGAGTCTCGCTTTACCTACCACCAGGTTACAAAATCAACGCTTAACCAGCATATAACGCAGATTATATATAGGGGATCATTCTATATTGCTTTCTTATTTCCTACACTGGATGTCGCTGGTCGATTCATTTTGGGCCACCGGATAATATCATCGTTTGCCACACGGTTATTGTGCCGGGCAACTGAGTGTTTGTGACGTCTGCTTGAATAAATATTGACTGAGTAGGCGGAATAGATAATGATCAAATTAACTGTACTCCAGTATGACTAATCGAGCGATGACGATGTCAAACTGTATTAGTTATCCACTTTTGAAGTATAAAACATCGAGTTAACAGAGTGACATTTTATACGACTGGTGGCCTGCCTAAATCTTGAGCTTCTAAAAATCCATCCATCATTATATTCTATCTAATTTCTCGCGCACAATTTGTTTCAACCCATTAACCTATCAAAATATGATCCCCAATCGCATTATGTACACTTGCGAATATTTAAGATGTGGATTTGCGAATTTCCACAAAATCTAAAAAAAGCATCATACTGGGTGGCGACGTGCTTTAAAACGTATTCCTATACATCAAATGGTTGCTCCTGAGATTATGAGCACAAACTGTCACTCTCTGTCAGGTGAAATTAACTATCCGAAATCCTTCGTACCCTCCAATGTATACCGCAATACAGGGACTACAACTCTTCAAGAAACCTGCCCGCATGACCTATATGATGATTATTTGGTCTGTCTTAGTGGTTTCGGATTATTCAGACAAGATTGGTGTAGCTCTGAGAAGAAATGGAGCAATGGAGTTGCAACCTTCATCAATTCTCAGTGGTGTACTTCTAATACTGTATGTTTTAGATACTCTAGCGACAAAATTGACAGCCTCACTTTTAAATGTCGACCAAAACGTCTGTCCGAAATAACTACTTTTTTCTAACATTTATATTGCACCTGGATGTAGTCTGTCAGAGCTATCCTTATTTGCTGATGAATTTACTTCCTTCCCTTGGAAACTCCTTGTCAGTAGTTGCTGGTGACTTCACTTCTTGTGACTTCAGTTACCCTACATCATTAGGTCATGAAAATATTGTCAACTTCTCAACACGACTGGAAAATACTCCTGATCTAGTGTTTACAAGCGACTGGCATATTTTAAACTCGGAAGAGAGCCCCACTACTTAATTCTAATCGTTGTATCATACAAATATTGCCCAAAAATATGCAAAGTTGCACTAAAGGGCCTTCTTCCACCTTGTCATAGCATAGATGTTACTCTCGTGGCAATATTCAGAATCTAAGGAGCCTGTTGAAAGATGCAAACTTGGACTTATTCACTGAACAAGTTCTAGGTGACAAAAACGTCTGTCTGTCTGTCTGGATTCAACATAGAACTTGGCACCGAAGTGCAGCAGTTCGAGTTGCCACGTTCCAAATAGCACACAGAGGTAGACAACATATTATCTCGAATTCTGTCTTGATGGTTGTTGTCCAAAAAATACACCCTTAAGATTTGACCGCTTCTTTTTTCCTCAGCTTGAAAAGCTTCACCGAGAAAAAGAAAGACTATGCAGAATGAAAGACAATCCTGGTGTTAAGAGACTGGACATTTTAATTAAATCAGAAATTTATTTATTTTATTCCTTTACGTTTCGGGTAGAACTTAGGACTTCAAGCTAGAGCTTCTAGGTTTCGGTAGCAGTGGTGTTTATTTTTACGGGATTGCTAGCCTTCATCCCCAACTTTCCGTCTTAACCGGTGAGGTAGGGGAGTGCGTCAACCGGAGATCGAACCCCGAACAACATGCGTCGCTGGCGAAAGTTCTACCGCTACACCACGAACACTCAAGTTAGAAATAAAGAGATTAAGTAAGATCTGACGACGGAAGTTCCTATTATACAAGACCTCATCAAATTGACGATACTCCAGTATGAATAATCGAGCGATGATGTCAAACTGTATTAGTTACTAAATTTTGAAGTATAAAACATCGAGTTAACAGAGTGAAATTTTATACGACTGGCAGCCTGTTTAAACCCTGGGTTACTAAAGATCCATCCATCGTTATATTACATCTAATTTTCATCAATGAACCTAACTATTATAAGTGATTGGTATTCTACCGAATGAACTTAATTTTCACAAACACAAGATTGTTAGTTGTAACAGCCTAGTTTTTCATTAATAATGGCTATTGACTTATGCGTGTGATTTTCAGTTATTCATATCATCTACTAATTTGTATCACATAGCCTGGCTGCTATTGTTCATGTTCCAACTTTCATGATCAGGTTATTTTTATTGCATATTACATGGCAAAAGCTTCTTGACTTCCTGTTGAAATATTCTATCTTCGCACCACGTGTGAAATGTGAAGGATCGGAATATTAATGATAATAAAAGTATTAATAATAATAGTGAACTTACATAATAAAGGAAAGAAGCAAAATTGTAGTAAGAGCTTTACTCTGGCCGTGGTAGGGCAAGAGAATGTATGTATCGCTTTTGAATGCAGAGGTCTGGTTTCAGATCTCGAATAGCTAATGCTTCAGCTACATACAGATGGCGTATCCGAAGTCCCTTTGTACGATACTGAGGGGCTCTGTGTAACACTGTGAAGAGCCATATAAACTAAACTATAAAGTTATATGAATATACTAACTTGTTAACCGCTTGCAATGTCATCCATCACCTTTACCAAATCCAAACCAATTGGAAGTTTTCCTAACCTCGTGACTACACCTTACAGATTTGGTCGACAGGATTCAACTAGCAATAAGGACTACCTAATATATGACACGGGTTACTTTCCTCCGTCTCCATAGACCACTCTATATAATAAATGATGCTTTATACTTCGGTTTAAATAAATTGATTTTATATAGGAGTTGATTGTTGTTTTACTATTGATTGATTAATTTTGATAGGGTTCATTCAACTCAGAAACCGAAAATAATAACAACAATGATCTCGACAACTTTGAGTCGAAATACTACAATTCTTCAAATATACGTCCTCCAGGCTTAATATTGGACGCTATTGGAGAAGAATATCCATCCAACTATTATTCAGATCCACAAATGAAAGTTTTAATTCAATGGATATCGGCTGCATTAGTTTATAGTTCACCTTGCTCTAAATTCAATTTTTTAGCTAATAAAATGAATTCATCAACACAAGATAAAATTGATAGTGATTATAATCATTCATCTAGTGAATTGAATGATTTCAAGAATCAAATTGCAATGGAACACTCATGTTCACCACTAATCTGTTGTACAAATGGTGACGTGAAATTGAAAAAGGTAAATTATTTACAAATAACTTTTCGGTATTATTCTTTGTTAAAGTAGATAAATGATATATATACTATGGACTGTAAAATTAACTATTCATTTGGTTATTTAAGTAATATAATCGACCCTTGCATAATAGATGAGCATATTGTCAAGTGTATAAATACACAAGATTCCTCATTGATGAGAACTTGGTTGATGAAGTCAATTATTTACTGATTGAAGTCATTACATTATATGGTCCTACAATAAACAGAGAAATGACGTTAGTGGACTTAGATGTATAGCGCTTATGATAATGTCTCACTTTATAGATTTGAGAGTCGAATTGTAATACCACGTAGATGCTTTTAATCAGATACAATCTAGGTTACTGTAAAGTATTCCAAAATGAATATACTGAGCTACGGGAAGTAGTAGACACATATACTGTCATAGGTTCGAGTCCCGTTCCACCTGCTTTAGTATGGGCGACTGGATAGTATCATCAGTCCTTACACGATTAGTGTAGTTCCTAGTCTGATACATAAAAAACATTTTTTCAGGTAACAGCTTACATGCTATTGATTCCATTTTCTATTCCCATTTCATTTGCCTTTACATGTATACTACTTATTACTAGTAAGTAGTATAAGTTTATCATCTGTTCACCATCCAGTTACTGCTTATCCATAGTTGGATATTTCCATTGGAATTTATCTCAACATTTATCAACATTCTATTTTGTCTGCCATGATCACTTCCCTATAGTTAGGTGGTATCTGCTGTACATTCTATACATAATACAGCACTATATTTTAGACGAAAGCTGTGTTTTGGATTTTACGCCAAACTCAAACGTTTGGTTTAACTAGTCGATTACAATTATAGCTCACGATTTCTTAAAGGAAATCTACACATACATTACCGTAGACTTTGTCATAAGCCCAAATCAGTCCAAATAATAAAAAAAATCACTTCACAGCTCTTTTTTTTAGCTCATTCACGATTGTGTGGCGGCGATTCAGATACCGCAGCATATGAGCTTATCCATCAAATTTCCATCATCTTGAATATACATATTGGTTGTTTCAAACTGTCAATATGCCACTGCTTAGTTTACTGTACAAGGGGCTGTAATCTAAATGAGTTATCATATCAGTAAGCATTGCATTGTGGTTCTAGTCGCTGGCAACTACTCTATTTTCTGGTTCTTCTTTATGTTACGTTATGCTACATGATTTTTTTTCGGAGTATGATGTCAACTAGCGATTTGATGTGCAACATAATTCACTTGTCATAAAATGAGGAGTTTAGGTTGCGGTTTACTTATTGAAACCCTGCTGATCACCTCAAACACTTTTAGCCTCATGCACTTACCACTTGTTTTTTAAGTGTTTATACATATTTATTCATGAGTATATGTGTTCATTATAATAAAAGTTTTCGTATTTCCCAATGAATGAAAAACAAAACGATGTTGTTTGTTACTGACGTTTCGCTATTTAATGCTAATAGCTTTATCAAAGTATTAGTATATAAGTGTATTTATGCGTTTACTTCACTCTATTTGTGCCCTTTTTTCTCTTCTTATTCTTTCACTCAGCTTCAGACTGTTGTATCACTTGTCTATAAAGCATCATGGAATGCTGGGGATTTATTCTGTGCTATGTTAGATTATTGTCATTACAGATCTGAGTATTTGGCTCAAACTACTACTATTACAAGTGACTACGACATTAATAATAATAATAATATCATTCCATTACAGTGCAATTATTCACTGTCACCTCAGTTAATCTCAAAACCTCTCTTATCTTTATTTGACTTTTTAATACTTCAATTGCAAAATATTCAGTAAACGTTTCAACAAGTCTACTTTATTATGCTTTCTGTACAGAATCATTGAATCTCTATAATTTATTTCTCACTGACTTCTTATTATTATTTGCTTTTTATGTACAGTTTACGCACAATATTATTTAATAATATCTTATTTTGCTTAATTTTGATTTGAAATATTATTTTCATTAATATACTTCAAGTTTTCAATTCAATACTCTGAATACATCTCATACTTTCCATTTAAACAGATAATGTTTGTTTTATCTTTTTAAAAGCCTAAACGCATTGTCTGTATATGCGTCTCTGCATGCTTTAGGAAGTTAGGAATGTTTCTCATCAGTTTAAGTTATCAACTTCCAGTTAGTTGGTGTCTTTTTTTCAAATCTTGCTGCGTTTACTTCACTCTGAGCTACTGGACAGTAGCATCAGTTCTCTTCTCGTACAATAATTTTGGCTCATGGCCGAAACCTGATCTAATTGACTGGTTTCTAAGTTATCCTCTCTTGACTGAGTGATGAAACATGAAAGATAATTATAAAATATTAAGTAAACAGTAAAAAGAAAAACACCTCACACTCAGAAAATTATCATTTCCGTAAGTGTGGGTAGTGTTGCCACCACCTAGTAGTATTGTTGTAAAAACAGAAGACAAGGGCCAGGCAACAGATCGTTTTATTACGGAAACCAGCACGTATTTGTATAGATTTCATGTACATTATTATAGCTTATTCAAGCAGACAAACACAGTCTTCTGATTACTTGTTTCTTGCGCAAGGTTATTCTGTACTGCCTGTGACTGGTTACTCAGAAAGTTAAGCCATATATCTGCGAATCGTATTTGCCCACGTTAAGTCTGCTGTGATTTGTTGTTGAATCAGTCTTGTTCATATTTTCTCACGGCCAATATTAGTGACCTAGATATTGACGTAAATTAATGTCTACCAATTGGCTAGCAGCCGGCTCTCACCACAATGTGGCTTGTGCTACTGATAAGATTTATCGGTAGTATACAAAGAGATGTTCATCGGCATAAAAATATCAAATAGTAGGGAGATAGATGTAATGTCTGAGAAAGCAAATGATACAGCGCTGCGAACATACATGGCAGGTATGAAAGGAACACAAAGAAACACAATATATGAAGGAAAGCCAGAAGGAGCACAACACAGAAGATCTGCGCAAATGGTGCGTACATAATTTCGTTATATAGAGATACCAAACTGCAAATAAACATTCCTTGACCAAGTCTTTCGTCTTCTACCGTTATAGTAGTAAATTGACAGCTTAAAACTTTTCATCGCAAACTTCTGGCATTAATAATGCACTAAAGATGGTGAACAGAATTCCTTTGTCCCTTTAAAAGCAAACTGATTTTAAAATAAACAGGTAGTCATGTAGTGAAATTATCGGTTCACATGTATGTAATAAAATGTAGCGACAGTAGCATTCCGCTAACCCATGCACTTATATTTTAAGATCTATCACAATCAAATTAATATGGTGCAATGAAAATGAAACTTTTATTAACACATACTAACTTGAATGAATTCTATTCTAAAATACCACGTACAAGTGAGCTTATTATACAATAGAATGCATAAAGTCAAATAAAATTAAGATTATTAAATAGGTATACTTTAAAAACGACATATTTAGTAGCCTGTGCGATATATACGATTGGTTGATTTTAGTAGTAGGAAAGCCGGCTAACTAGAAACACTTGCCAGGTAGATCGAGGGGCGAACCGATTCAATTCAGACAGCTGAGTCGATCCCCTATACCTCCTTATAAGCCCACTGCAAGTGGACTAAATGGCACCTAGATGGTGTGTTGCTCCCAGCTATGCATCAAATCGCCATTTAGGGCGTCAAACAGCTACCACATTGCGGCTGGAATATTTCGGATTTTCAACAAATTGCTGACTGAGTCTCAGCACAGAAATTAGCACAAAGATTGAGTAATCCAAGTCGCCACACTCCATGCCGCACACACAGGCAGACAAAAAAGTGACTCACAATGTGGTGAGAGCTGGCTGCTAGCTAAATCGGTAGATAGTAATTTACATCAATGTTTACGTACTCAATATTGGTCGTGAGAAAATATGAACATAAAATGACTCAACAACCAACCACAGCAGACTTTACGTAGGCGGATACAGTTAGCATATAGATGATCTGACATTCAAGAAACAGTCACAAAGAGATGAAAGATTAACTTTCAGTGAGAAACAACCAATCAGAAGACTGTATTTTTCTGCTAACAATAATCTATAATATGTACATGAAAATGTATAAATATGTGTTGATTTCCTTAATAAACGATCTGTTGCCTGCCCCTTGTCTTCTGTTGTTACAAAAAGACCTACAATTAACAGAAATATGAGGAGGAAAGAATAGTAACACGAAAAGACATAACCGTTTAATGGATACTGGAGATCACAGAAGGTGAATGCAACTGCCTCACTGAGAACAATTTTGAACCAAATCACCTAATGATACTTAGCATCTCCAGGACTACAATCAAGAAGTCTGCGCTCCCCTTCTTATGTCTCAAACCAACTGTCGAAGACTGGTACCAGGTTTTCGTTTGACCACCCTTAACTCTTTTCCAGCCAAATCTTATATCAGCTGACGTAGCTCGTCGAGGAAGGTGGTGTCTCAACATACACACACACACACCACGTGTCGTGACCATCTCAGTCTATGTAGCCTCACAATCTGATTTTTAAAGGAAGCAATGATAAAACTGAGTATTTTGCAAACAATTTGTTGCATTATATATAAGTTACATGCTTCCTAAAATAAAAATGAGACATTTGTCTGGGGCTTCTTGTATGTTACCTGTCATCACCTTAGACGGTCATGTCTTTAGTTTTAGATTTATATAGATCATAATGCATCTGCCAATAATAAAATAGGTGAATTAAAAAGTGGTGACAGACCAATCGACAAGCTTTCACACATCGTTAGATCTATTACAGAAGAGGACTGAAGGAAAGGAATTTGGTTTTTAGACTGAATGACTAGTATAATCGATTCAGAAAGATTAGCAAATTACTTACATCAGAAACTGATTAATATCAGTTAAGTAGTGAACTACAGCATCAATAGCACAATCATTAATGAGAAGACTTAACATGCACTGGAGAACATTAATCTTAGAAAATACTAAAAAATGTAGCGTATTGTCTATTTATTGGAATAACAGTTATCCAGGAATACCCTTACTCATGAATTATCAAAACGCCTAACTCTAATACTATGTGACACTAGAAATAGTTCAAACTCAAGGCTAACTAATTCATATGAAATGAAAAAGAAACTAAGTGGCATTCAACTAGAGAATTAAAAAGTGGGTAGTTTTGATATAACTAGTCTGTATACTAATATACCAATCAATATGGCCTTAGAAGCAGTTAAAAAAGAATAACTGCGGATCCTGAACTCACTCATAGGACAAAGCCGCCCATTGAAGAAATTATTTTAGGGATTCAGTTATGCCTCACATCTACTATCTTTAAATTCCAAGGCAAAATATATAGACAAACAGAAGGTGTAATAATGGGATCACCAATATCCCCTATCGTAGCAGATATCTTTATGGACAGCTGGGAAAATATTGCTCTTAATAAATTTAATCTTACTTCAAAGATATTTGGCTGACATTTTCACAGTGTTAAAAACAGGACATATCTCTAGCTTCTTCACACATATAAAAACCCACTAGTAGAGGGAATAAAATTCACATTTGGATCGAAAAATGAACAAGGAGAATTAGCTATGTTAGATTATAAAATAAAAGGAATAGAAGAAGGTAAACTGCACACTAGCGTTTATAAAAAGCCAACGCATTCTAATAGATATTTAGACTTTAATTCATCTCATCCGTTAACTGTTAAGGCAGGCTTAGTGAAGTGTCTAACAAACGGAGCACTAGCACTAAGTAGCACAAGAAAAGACCTAATGATGAAATGAAACATATACAACAAGCGTTGGTATCAAATAACTATCCTATGAAATTCATTAGGAAGATCAGTAAAGGCCAAAAGCAAAATAAAAATAATTGCGAAACTAATAATGATAACATAGATAAAAAGAATGTAAGGCATCTACATTTATACCATATAAGGAGGGGAGATCTGAGACCCTACGTAGGGTTCTTAATAAAGAAGGAATTAGGGTGGCATTGAAAGCCACAAACTCACTCAGAGATAAGCTCGGTAGGTTAGAGGACCCAATTAGACAAAATAATATAATTTACAAAATATCCTGCAATGATTGTGAGTTAAGTCAACTACATAGGTCAAACTAGTAGGTCGGGGTAGTCAGACTGTCGGGACATAAGAATTTAGCTAAGGTGAGAATGATTGACCCCGAGAAGATAAGTAATTTGGAAAAAAGCTCAGCGATTGCACTGCACGCATTAACACACAATAAGGTGGGAGAAGGTTAAAATTCTAAGAAGTGTCTATGGGTAGGTTTAGAGAGAAGTTGATTACTGAATCTTTGTTCATAGAATAACCTACACCCAACATATGCAATAGGAATGATTCATCACTCATACCGGAAATATAGAAAATACTTCTACCAATCAAATCAAGCGATGGAAAATAATGGAATTATGTTAACGAAGTAAGAAAGTTGTGAGTACCGTGGTATGACTATGAGCAATAAATTGTGCTCAAAACGTCATCAGTAAACATTACTGTATAATACTGTGAGAATTTATCAAAATAAATTTTACCCACAAAGGAATTGTACTCTACCGCAGTTCTCAAGTTCTATTATTATATCTACACATCTGCCACAAAAAATTCTTTTCGAGTTCATCACTGTCAAGAAAGTTTTTTCTACGAACTGATTGCTTGACTGTGATAAATTACAGCATGATAGTATACCATTGACGTTACACACTGGTGACTGTTGACCAGATAGGAGCTATCTAAACACTGAATGGTTGTTTCTCTTGTCTATGGCTGAGCTTCTCAGCGGTATGCCTGTAATGGCTCATATCACAGTATGTGTGTGAATATTTTTAGCTTCCAAAGGATACCATATTGAATCCTCAACTTGAACTGTGTAGTTTGCAAATGGTGAGCTTGATTGTGTCCTGATTTTCTCTGTAGCCAATAGATAAACTCAATATGTTAAAAGTGCAGCAATAAAATAAACTAATATAATTCCATAATCAACAAAATAAACTATAGCGGCCACAATAAAATAAGAAGTCGACCAAATCGACTGTC